TAATCAAGCGTGTGAAGCATTTAATAAGTTTGAGCTTTAAAACTTCATTATAAACGTGATTTTAAATCGTATATGTACAATGCAATTCCATTGCATTACAAACTCATTGGTCCTTGTGATGTAGAGGACGGTAGTCTATGCATCTCTAATTGAAAAAAAAAATACTTAGATCATTTCTAATGAAAACTCAAACTCTTACATAAATTTAAGTAAAAAAAATAGTAAAAAACTTATTTGGTATATACCTCTCCAATGGAGAATTTTAAATTTAAATAAAGAGAAATTCAAATTTAAATGAGGACAAACTCATATTTAAAAGAGGGTAAAATATAACTATTAAGTCTTTAAAGGACGGTGAAATCTCACCATTAAAGATTTGAATATAGGTTTGAGTCTCCTCTAAATTGAGTAAAAAAAATTAGTCTCTCCTTTGATGTGATATGAGTATGAGTCTAACATTAAAGAAAGTTTTTAGGAGTTTTTTACTTAAATTTAAATTTGAGTTTTAAAAAGGTAAAGATCAGAGATGCGCTTAGTACATCAGTGGTAGAAGAAATCCTCTGTATCCTACATTCCTTATCCTAGTATGGTTCCCGTACGAGGACATTTGAGATTAAGGAGATGGATTCTAGTGATCCATTCCCACATTGTTTGGTGAAGGGTGTGTGAATATTTCATAAGTTTTCGCTTCAGACTTTCACTGCACACCGTGTTTGATTTAAAATAGTACAAACTAACTAAAAAGCAAATAATATTGTACAATGTGATTTTAAAGCATCACTCTCTATTATACTCCTTGATTACTTTAGTGGTAAATGAACTCAAGAACTTCTTACGTGTTACTTGGTTACGAGTGTTAAAAAATACCTAAAAAAAGACTCTTGGAAGTGAAAGATTTTCTTTTTGGTAGTAATGACAATAAGAAATGTCTCCTAATCTAGTGAAAAAAAAAGCCATAAGAAGAGTGAGTTTGTAAACTCTTTTTGAGCCAGAATTATGACATTTCCTCTCCATCTCTAAGTGGTGAATTGGGTGTAAATCAACAAGTGTTCAACTGTCAAATAATGTGGTCATATTCCATTACTAAACCAGACAAAGCCAAGGTAAGTCACATGGGGGAGATAGATGCTCTAGTCCACACCTCATGAGAAGGGACATTGTAAATTAGAGTGATGTTGATGGAAGATTGCTTGTCAAATTGCCCAAAAGAAAATCAGAAAGAACCTGCTTCAACTCTACACCACTTTTCTTTCCAATTGCATACACACCCTCCCACATCACCTATGGGGTAAGTTACACTTTGCCCATTCTCACATTGTTCACTCAATTATTGAATTGTTCATATTGTCTCTCAACCGTTTAAATTGGTTTCACTTCTCCCAAAAAATCAAACCAAGAGCATGTACGTGTATGCCTTTAACTTTTAGGACAAAGTAAAGCAAAACTATATATTCCAAGAGATAAAATGATACAATTTTCTCATTTGTTTGTAATAGTCGCTTAACATTAGGATAGTATCAGACCAACGACCATAATTGAATCTGCGAATATGAGAAATGTGATAGTGAGAAGACAATGTAAGACACGAAAGTCATAGTTAAAATAATCAAAGTACAATTTGCTGACCTAATTAACCGATTTGGGCTTAAGTTAGCATACACAGGAGTTAGACTAGGACAGTGATGACTGTTATTACTTTTGGCTAAATTGTCAAGAAAAATAGAATTGCTCACCCTTATATGATGAAAAGGTGAAGAACTATGGAACTTCATTGCTTTTTTACCAACTGATTACTTTTTCTTCTTTTGCTGAAATGAGAACTGTTTCCTTTACACAGACAATTCAAACAAAATCAAAAGAACATTCACCAACTGAATCAAAAGGCTGTACGGAAGAGGTCAATCTAACGAACTACATGCTCTTCATTTACCGACCTAAAAATATTGGGAGAAAACTTTGTTAAGATGAGATGACGATTTTCATTTTCACCCCTAAAATTCATTTGAAAAAAGAAAGTCTTCTAGCACTGCAGGATATAGTAATACTATTTAACCTTTTTTTTTTGTTCAACGATCAGAGGTATTTAGACTAATTTTATGTGCACCTCGACTAATTTTTTCTGTAGTCTGGTAAAAGATAGACTATTCACGTTGAGATTAGGGTATTCATGAAAAATAAATCTCTTATGACTTGCCTCTAAGAGGTTGTTAAGATTCTAACTTAAAACGTTTGGATCTATGGTTCGTGCTTATTACCACTTAAGTTACTCCTTGGGGTTGACAATTTAACGTATTTGCCTCTTTTCAGATGTGCAACCAAAAATTCAACACAAACCCGTAAATGACACGACCCGTTAACACGAATAATAAATAGATTGGGTTAGTGTCAAATATGAATAACACGAAATTGACACGATTAACTAATATCATAGAAATAAAATTTTAATTATTTGTTATTTTTTATTAAGTATTGACATAATTATTTTATAAAATAGACATTTTTACTCATTATTAGTGTTATGTTTATTAAGTTAATTTATAATTTATAAAAAAAGTATGAGCATAAATTCAATTAATTTATAATAGAATTTTAGACTTAAATTTCAGCGTTAAATTTTTTATTCGAATTTTGTATAGGTTAACATGAATACAAATACGAACTCGACACCAAAATAAATTAGTTTGTGGACACAATACGGTCAATAAATAGGTTGAATTAATGTTGATTAATGTTCGATATGTACCCATAATAACACTGTTAAAAAATATAGGGTTACTGATTATTTTGTTTATTAAAAGTAGAATAATCATTTATTTTCTCTTTGTTTAACTTATATATAATCTCTTTATATTTAAATTAAATCACTTTTTTATATTCAATTGAATTATCCGATATCAATAAAATCTCGGCCCCTCTTTTTTATCTGTTATATTCCTCTTCTATTAGATTGTTTAACAAACACAGTACAAATTCGATCCCACCCGATATGACACCCTATCACATAGTGTTCCCTTCCCAAACACCACCACCCGGGGGAGGCGGTGGAATTTTTTGTGCTAAGGTAGCACCGACAACGCCGACTTTGCCAGTAAAATAGGCTTTACAATTGAAGACAAGACAAGAAAAGAAGAATGGAGCCAGACACTACACAGTCATTTTAAAAATAAAAGAATGGAAGTTCTCATTTTAAATACATTATAAACTAAAAATATATTAATTGGAGAAAGGAGATAATATTTAAAAAATAAAACTATACTTTAAAATTCTACTCCTAATCTTAGAATCAAGGGCAGAGCCAACATTTCACATTAGAGGGGGCATACTATGATCGAAAAAATTTTCACCGAAAAAAATATTTTAGAATTCAACTTTTTTGTCTAGAGATGAGGGCTTCAGCTCATTCATTGGTTTACCGAAAACACCTTTAAAATTTTAATTTAAACAAAATATAAATAGAAAATCATAAAATAACCTTTGTTTAGTATATTTTAACTCAATCACATATTAAAATAGAAGACAGTGTTATTTCAAATCTTAAAATTTGTCCATAATGAATTGAACAATTTTTTTAGTAATTTTCTTCAATGTATAAAATCACATTATACGTGATAAAATTATTATTCATTTTATGTTGAGAAATCTAGTTAAAATCACCATTTATTTGTCGATGTACTCAATCCATAAACTAAAACATTGATTTTTTTTTGGAGGGGGTTAATGGGTCACTAACTTATCAAAAATTGAAAAAAAAAAAAAACTAGGACTATTGTAAACATTTTCAAAAATTAAAGGAGACAAATGTATTAAAATAACCAAAACTATCATCCTGAACAATAGTATTCAAAAAGTCAGGGGAAGTGCCCACCCTTCTTCCTATGCGGCTACACCCTTGCTTAGAATATAATCAACACAATACCATAAGATGATCTATTGTTTTGGCCAAAACAATAGGGAAACTCCTTGGAATTTAAGAAATAACTGGTCAAAATTCATACTTGAAGATACGATATAACATAAAAATCGAGCGTCTAAAAAATTGATTCCACTATATCAAATAATTAATATTTTTAAAAAATAAAATTGTCAAAATTTTCTCAAATTACATGATTTAAACAAAAATAGTATTGTATATGAACAATTTTTAAAATAAGAATTATGTTGAATCATAAATTAATCAAAAATTAAATAATTTAACTTATGATAAAAAGGAGTGATATGATAAAAATAAGCTGAAAAAATATGTGGTGATAAAATTTAAATTGTTAGCTATCTTATTATATAGAAAATTATTTTTAAAAAATAAAATTGTCCAAATTTTCTCAAAATTCATGATTTAAAAAAAAAAACATGTATACAGTGCTATCATATATGAATAATTTCTGAATTAAAAAATTATATTGGGTCATATATTAATCAAAAATTAAATAATTCAACTTAAGTTAAAAATGATAGACATCAGCAAATGGATGGTATTGTTCTAATGTAGTCAAAATGTAGAATCTTTAATCTAAGTTTAAGGCTAATAATACACTGCCACTAATCCTCTTAATGTCAGCATGCCACGTCATCATAATATGTCCCTTTTAGACATTATAATCAAGGTTAGGGTCAGAAAGGTAATTCCAAATAACAGCTGGAACCTCAAACCATTGATGTGGCGATATGTAATTGGTGACTGCAAGAATTGTAGAGAGAACCAGGGTGATGACACTGTGTAATGATGGAACATTCCCTTTTAAACCACCATCATTAGTCCACCAAGGGATCTTCCAAACTCATTGGAGAATAAAATCACTTTTCATTATTCAGTGGCCTTTTTTTTTAATGCGGAGAGAGAGAGAGTGAGGGGGGTGGGAGAAGAGCAGTGGTAGAAGACAAAAAAAGCTTTCCATCAATCAACACAAAGCTGCAAAAATCATGTTACCTGCCCTCTGAGTTAATTTCTGGATTTGCTTTTTCTGGGGTCTCTCTGGGGTCTCTTCGATTTATTTATAGAGATAATGGGTATGCAACCAAACCCCAGAAGTTTTTCCTGACTTGGATCTTCTTTTGTTTTGTTTCTCTGTCCTCACAAACACAAACACAGGTATTCTGTGTTGTTTGGTGATTTTTTTGATAATCATGTGTTTAGAGATATGAAGTTGGTTTTGGTTATTTTGCAGTAATGGGTAATGTTAGTGGTAGGAAAGATGAAGCTGGACCCTCTGGAACCAAAGATGAAGAAGAGGGTGAAGAGTACATGGAGTATGCACATGGTGGGGCGCAAGGTAGCTATCATGGGCAGGCTCAGTTTTCAGATTCTATGGTTCAGTCCCCTTCTCATAGCCCTCGGGCTTACCGGTCACCACTGATGTTCACTCCACAGGTCAGATTTAGAATCTTTGTGTGTTAGTTTATGCTAATATTTGAGCATTCTCAAGGTTTATTTTTTTTCCTGTGGTTCTAGATAAATGAGTGGTCTATCCTTGGGATTATTTACAAGTGTTATAAGAATCCCTTCTCACTAGTTTAATGGATTCCTTTTCTCAAGCATATTTGTCTTCCTATTTGTTTGATAATTTGTCTTGGAAAAGAAAATTAGGGAGGTTAGGTGTGATGGAGTATTGTTTCTCATTCACCGATTGGATATAAAAACAGATATATTTGAAGTTTGGGAGGACAGTGTCCTGAATTGATATAGTGTTTGTTGCTCTAGAGGAGAAAAAAAAGACTCCTTTGGGAAATTAGTTTCACTGCTGACGGCACCGTGAGATACAATTGAGGTTCAATTGTACCTGTAAGGTTGCTTGCTTTGAGAGGCCATGTCCTCTAGTGTAATCTGGAAAGTTCCCGCTAGTTCATTTCGAAAACATTCTTGTTGATACCCTCTAGGCTCACGTATGTATAGTTTATTCAGGTCCCTATGATTCCTCTGCATAGACCTGAGGAGATGATGCAAATCCAAAGGGATGGATGGAATCAAAAGACGACAGAGCATGAAAGTATGCTCTCTGAGAAGGTAATTCCCACAATGATCACCTGGAATTATGGTGGCAAGCAAGTAGCTGTTGAGGGATCATGGGATAACTGGAAGACAAAGTATGATATTTGCTCGAGTTTCTAGTTTCTTATTGTGAACTGTGTTTGCTTTCCACACTAATCTTCTTAGATTGCTTGCACTCAGAGAGTTCTTGCAGAGATCGGGCAGAGAATTCATCATTATGAAAGTGCTCCCATCAGGTGTTTACCATTACCGGTTTATTGTTGATGGACATTGGAGGTATGCTCCAGACTTGCCTCAAGAGCATGATGATACAGGGAATATTGTCAACATTTTAGACTTGCAGGTATATTTCATTCCCTTTATTCCACTACTGCTCATACCCAAAATGAGTTACTTTTCTTGTAGAATATTTTTTTGGTGGATGCTTTTCTATCTCTCTCCTTGTTAGTAAAATTTTGGAATGATGCAGAGTTCAAACTTGGCCATAATTAATATGCAGGATGGATGCCTGTCCATGAATTGGCTTTATTTCATACATCGATGCATAGGGATTCACATTGATCTAGAATAAGTCCACATTACTGGCATGGCTGCATTCATATTGGCTGATATGAACATATTTTCATGAATGTTCCTTATTACCCGTGCACTTTCTGTTAAAGCGACTACAATTAGCTTGAAACTATATAAATGGGTCGAATTAAGGTTTCCCATGCATTTAACATGAATGCATCATTGGTTACCCCTGCATTACTGTGGAAAGACTGAGATAATAACTCCTGCATTCCCAAATGCAGCACTGGTGTTAGGACCAACTTGAAAGTTTGCAACCTATGTGTAGCCAAAAAATCCTGTGTTAGTTGTAGTCTCTACCTTATGGTAAAGAAGGAGATGATGCTGATGATTGCTGCTCTCAGTTATTTATTCAGACAAAGAGAATTCCCTGTATGCAACTTTTCAGTTAGTGTTGTAGCATTTTCTTGTGAAAAACGAAAATAGATCATTTCCAAATTTGAAACTTATTCTTAAGCATGTCATAATCCAGCAGCTATACTTATCTGTTGCAGAACCATGATCTATTCTGTGCTTAGAAGCTGAATCATATGCTCCCATTACTAGCACTATATAGTTTTTTGAAGCTCCTGCTTTTAGGCACATAGATCTAACATATCTATATATGGACCTATTACTCAGATGCTTGTATTCTTCTTAGAGCCTTACGTCATGATTAGTGTTATTCAAGGCATAAAGTGAAGGAGATGCTCAGATCTCCCAAGGCCTGACCGAGGGGAGAGGCGAGGCAAACAACATAGAAACCAAGCAAGCATTTTATTGTTAACTTCTCAAATATTTAGGCTGCGTTTAGCGTAATTTCTCAAAAATGAAAGTCCATCTAAAAAATGGACTTTTTAAAATGCACTTTACAAAAAGGACTTTTTACAAATATAAGATGTTTGGTGAGAACATATTTTTGAAGTGCTTTTGAGTTAAGAAGTGAATCCAAATATATAAATGATGTTTGGTGGGAAAGTTTCTAAAGTGAATATATATATATAGTAGTTATAAATCGTGCTGAAGATACAATAGAATATAAAATTTAAACCCCCAAAAAATCGATCTCACTATATTAAATAATAATTTTTTTTTCCTTTAGTTCTTTGATTACATCATTCAAAATTTATTTTTACCCATTATTTTCTCAAAATACGTAATTCAATAAAATTTTCTCAACATGTGTATACTATTGTACATGGATAATGTCTAAAATAAAAATTATGTTAAATTATAAATTAATCAAATGTTAAATAATTGAACATGTGATAAAAATGAGTGATATGATGATTTTGGGAGAAAAAATGTGTAAGAGATAAAATTCAACTTCTTATGTGTTTTATTATATATATATATATATATATATTACAATATCACCCTTGATATGATGCTTAAAATTGACCAATCTAAATGATTTCTATCACATGAAATCTATCAAAAGCCCATTTGGAAGTGTAGCCAAACACACCCTTAATATTCAAATGCAACTCAAAATATAAACATTTAAATTTAAACAAATATCAATAATATTTCAAATCTTAATGACAAACAAAAACATTTAACATTTACACTCAAAGAGACACCAAAAATATTCGAGATCCTAAAATTGTAAATACACAAGTCAAATTGTTAAAGCAACGAAACATATACGTAATGCTTCCACCAATCTTGAGGGCTTAGAAGTTATCCTCATCACCATGCAAATTATTTTTTTCATTGTCATTAGATTTATATCTCTACACACCCTCCTCTGCATAATCTTTTTTTTTTGAAGGAGGAGGAGGGTGGAAGGGAACTTGAACCCTTAATCTCAAAAAAGTAAAGCCTTTACATGACAAAGAATACCATTAGACCAAATGTCAATTGCTTCATCTAAAACTACATTTTCCTTATATATGATATGAGTGAAGTGTAGTCGATGATCTTGAAACCCTTAGTGTTGCACTAGAATTTGGTATTGATATGGTTCGTTGGCTACCTTCTCAACTCCAGAAGCTCAAGAAACATCACCCCAATTGAGCATATCTAAATTGCCCTATGTTGTGATCGTGCAGCAATTATGGTGAATAATAAGGAATCAAACAATTAAGAAAGCAATGTGCCTACATCCACAGGAGCGAGCAACCGTTCTTTTTCATTATTCAAAGTAGGGTTACATCTTAAGTATTTATATAACTCTAGAACGGATGTATTTACAAAATACCACTGTACCGTAGTGTAGAGGCGTTGCCCCCGCACCCCCAACTAATCAGCGTCCCCCCATACATAAAATATATCAATCCCACTCCGGCATCTGCCTCCTTGCCATTGTGCACACAGCAAATATGAGCTGCACATACTCTAACACCCTAAATATATCAACAAAGCGAAAAAATTAAAAAAAAAGAAAGTGTTTGCCTCATTGCTTGAAGATTAATCTTGAGGCACTTATTTTTAGTGCCTAAGCTTCATGTCGGCAAAAATTCCCTTCCTTAGACCACTTGAGGTGAGCACCTAGGCACACTTTTGATGACACTGTTCATTACTTTCTTACAATTGAACATGACTCTTTTGGTTGTAAATGTCTTAATACCTCATTGCTTTGCTACTTGTCAAACTTAGATAGGTTTAAAATCACAACTTCAAAAATTCTTTCTGCAATATCTTGAAAACTAAATCCAGAAACTAATGTTAGCAATCTTGTATATCACAAGAGTCCTCATTCGCATATTCCCTCATCTATTATTTTTGGTATGATGATCAATTTTACTTCAGATTAAGGAGCACAGAGGCATTCTATATATTTCACAGGAAGCCATGGAGAAAATATGTGTAGATGAAATGTCTGCACCTTGTGAAGAGCCTTGCATCTGCCACTTCAAGTTTAAACATTCTTGCATAATATTGATAGATGTCTTTTAAGTATAGGCATTAAAAGAAAAACAGCCTTTCTAATGGTTCCTGCAGTCTTCCATCTTCTCACTTTGCTGACTTTGCAAAATCAATTCGTACAGTCAGCTATTGAACATTCCTTAAGTGTATTCATCAGTTTTTCGTTTCATGGGTTAAAAGGATTCCTAGCAATTTAATTTTGACAGGGTTATCCATAGTCGGTAAAAATTTTAGTCAGTTTCATATGATGTCCTTCTTGTTGCCTTTTGTGTTGAATACCTCGATACCTACTGAGGAATTGACTTATGATTCGCAGGATCATGTTCCAGATGCCCTTAACAACGTTTCTGAGTCTGAATCTCCTCCTTCCCCTATATCGAGCTATAACAGTGAACCTCTAGGTTTGGAAGATTTTAATGAAAAGTTTTTACCTGAATTGCCTCCACTACTTCAACAGACACCGCTAGATCAGCCCTCATCCTCCAAGAACAGCACTGGATCTTTGGAGAAGCCGTTGTCTGCAGTTTTGAACCATCTATACATCCAGAAAGGGCGTAGTGGTCAGCCTATGGTGACGCTAAGTTCAACACAACGATTTCGCACAAAATATGTGACAGTAGTTCTTTACAAATCCTTGGCAAAGGTTAAAAAGTGAAAAGCCTTTCTGAATTCCTGGATTTGGAAATATACATTATGAAGATTGCACCCCAGTTGCTTTCATAGGTTAGGAAAATGGTTTAAATATGCAAAGGTAGGATTTTTGCCATAAAAACATGTATCGGGTTTCTATTCATTTTGGATATGATAATTTACTTGTGTATTGGGGATATTTCATTCTCCTCCTCTTCATGAACAGAAATGAAATTTCAACATGGAGATTCTGATTGGTAGCATAGTGTCGCTTATGGCACATTACAAACGGGCAAAATGCAAAATTAAAGACGTACATATATTTTTGGGTAATTCCCACATGGCCGTACACACTTATGTCTTCTCTGTTAGTTGTGTACCTGTACATATCTCTCTCTTTGTCTGCGTGTGTATATTCGGGTGGTCAGGTACAACCCAAGCTCGACAGGATTGGCTTTTCATACATGGTAGGCCAAAATATTTTGCAAAGGCTTGGTTTGACATGCCTACAAGTCATTGCTGGGACAAAAGGAAGATATGCCATTCAAATCTGGGATTATGTTGATCAATATTTTATGTCAAGTTTGTTCCAACAAGTAACTGCTGAATGGTCTACCCGGTCTGGTTCAGGTCGAGCAATAGAAGCTTGTTTTTATACATTGTGAGGCTCAGCTAGGCTGATTTCAGGACTCCCCTTAAGCTGGATTAATTGTCAATTTGTCATTCTTAAGTCATGAAATATTAGAATTGTTCCATAAATATTGAATGCATATGTGGCTGAAACATTAAATTTAGCATGCCACCAGGAGGAATTGGAAAATCAGCAAGTCATGGCGTCTAAAATGTCATTGCATGGTTTTATATCACCAAATTTATAACAGGTTAGCTTTTCAATGACATCTCTAGTGCAAAATGGTAAACACCGACACTGCCATTGCTGTTTTAATCCCATGGTGGCAATTGCTTTCATGCAAAAGCATGGTTCGGTTTGATATTAAGAACTTTGAAGACCACAATCATAAACAAATAATGAAAAGAAACTGTGGCAAATTGAAAGTGTTGTCTAGAACTTTTTATAGGCTTTGTGGCCAATCGATTTTCCAAAATGCATACCAAAACCAGATTTGGTAATTGTGCATTAGTGAGAGTAGTAGTATCAATTCTCAGGCAATTTTGATAAGCTGGTTGTCGGTATTTTCATACAGGCAAAGAGAATTTGTGCTTTAGGTGAATGTCAAGTTGCTTATAGATTGAACCTTCTTTTTTTTCAGTTAAATATCGTGTTAGCAAGTCGTGTCTTATAGATCAAACCTTTGCATCCAAATAATCAAATGGCATCCCAATTGATGGATCAAACAGTCCAATAATCAGTTTGACTTGATGAGTTAGACACCTGATGCTTAATACCATAATATGGAAACAATTTTCCAAGTATGAAACATTCTATCTAAACGTTCTGTGGAAATCTGCTTAACTGTGGAGATATCTAAGTAGATGGAGCCTTTCATGCCTGATTTTCCTCCTTTCAGTTTTTCCTTGAACAAGGCGAAGGTCTACTGTGCAATTTCTGCCATCCACTGACAAATAAAGTGGTAAAACTGAAATGTGAACAACTGATAAATGAGCATTCAAAACAATTGTTTATAGCCACCATCTTTGCTTGGATTGAGAAGGTTAGAAAACATATCAGAGTAGCCATTCATATCATGCTGCCTTTGTTCTTGTTGCAATCACAATCATTTCATCGAACAGGCACCTTGATCCAACCATTTGCAAAAGCAATCGCCAAGATTACAAAGGGGGTTGACATACCAAATATGATAATGTAAGGAAGGGGTGTCATCATCGGATTCTCCCCCGCCCTTTCGCCAGCTGTCTGCCAATACCTGCACTTGGTAGATGGTTTTGCCTGAGGATGACTACATGGATCTATGAAATTTGTGCTGTTGTTTACTTGTTTCAGTAAAGATCCTCTAACTTACATTTTATTATGAGTTTCCATGTTATTATATCTCATTATCTAAGGATTGAAGCAGTTTTTTACTTTAGAAAGCAACAAGGGTACTTGGGAAATGTTAACTAACCAATGCATAAGCAAAGTAAGAAATGAGCGCCGAAAGGCTTACTGTTCTGGTTCTTCTTCTTTAGTGATGAATTTCTTCTTCCCTCCCTGCTTGACTTCTCCTTCTCCTCCCCCTGACAACAACAGATTATCATTTCAGCCACCCAAAAATCAAACAAAAGATATTGAAGTTTTTTGCATGTACACATGTGGGTGTGAAGAAAGAAGAGACAATTTGGACATAGTAAATGAAACATAAGGGTTTTCCCAAACCTGATTTTGCCCAAATGTTTGAATGATTTGCCCTTTTCTTTGGTGCACAAAAAGTGGGAGGTGGTGGAGATGGAGATGAGAGCTTGGTTGGGAGTGGAAGATTGGAGCTGAAGGAAGAAGAGGGAGCCACTTTGGTTGCCATTTCTCAAATGAAGTATCTGGTATCTCTGCACATGATACCTTGTCCATCACATATATCTTGTCAGTTGTGGATGTGGTTATTGTGGCACTGATATCTACCCTTTTTTCATTTTGCCGTGGGGCACTTATTTCTACTGTCCTTTAGACTAGCCTTATCCTACCAATAACATATGACCAATTTGCTCAACTGGCCCATCTGTCCTTGAGATATATGAGAAATTGTGGTATCGTATTCTAATTTAGCCATAAAAAAGAACAGTCAATTGCAGGAATCTCTTACTACCATAATGTCCAGTAAAGATCAAATGTGTGTAGCCTTTCTTTTAATGTGAAGTGGTGATTTTCGTGACTTGAATCAATGATTATGGTACCAAATTAAAATTTTTTAGTATTACACTGAAAATTATAATCTTTTGGGTATAAATTATAAATGACATAATTAATTCAAAAAAATTATAATCAATCATGAAAATTTTAAAATAAAATTATATTTTTAAAAAAATTATAAATATCCAACTTAAATAATAATTGTGAACATGACATGTTCTCACATGTCACAAACTCACCGGCTGATATGACCAACCGATGGAACAATTAGCCATTTTCTTGTAGTTTCTACTTTCGAAAGCCAATGCCGAAAGGTCATAGATAGAAACTCTGCTACTAGTCTTCTCCTCTGCTCTGTTCCGCTGGCAGAGTCCGTCAACGAAGAAGCATTGACCTTTGGTCTCTCATGGATTCACATTTTGAGGGAATCTGATGCTTAAAGTTCAGATTTTGTAGCAACCCATTTGAGAAATTGGTGTTTCTCATGTTGGGTTTCACTCTTTTGAATTGTCCTTACAAATCTTAGATCTCGGCATTTTTAAACATGAGTTATCAGTAAAACCCTAGTGTAGTCCTTGATGGGTACTGTGATTTTTGGCACAAAACCCTGCTTGAATTAGTTGATTTGGTGAAGCAGAGAGCCTGGGTTCGCCAATTCATTGGCGTTCTTCATATGAAGCTTTGGATGGTTCAATCTCAATGTGATGATCAGTTTGGAGGTTTTTGATTTTCACCCTTTTGCTCATTTGATCTATTTTCAACTGGTCTCGTGCAATTCTTCATGTTTGATTATATAAATGCGATGAGCCCGAAATTAATTGGGTCAACCCAATAAATTAATGAGGCCTAAAGACAATATCAAGATAGGGTCAAGCTAACACCAAGAAGGGATCAGCCCAATGAATTAAGAGGAACTCACGTCATGAAAGATGAAGGAGAAGCCTAAAGAGGAGCCTAAATCATTAAGAAAGAGTTAAGGGGCGCCACTCAAGGGGTCACTCAAGAGGGCGGCTTCTAGATGTTGGTCCTGTGCCTCTCCTTCACCCTCTTCTCTTTGCCATTTTGACTAAAGTTCAAGTTCGGAATCAAATCCAACCCAGCTCAGAGTCCCCCTCTGATGGAACAGGGACGCGAGAGAGAAAACATTGGAATACAAAAGATCTATTCCTACCTTAACAGTGCTTACCAAAGAGGTCCACTCTTATCATAATTATACTTACCAAAGTGGTGGAAGACTCTTTCACTGCCTCACCGCCTTACCCTACTTATATAATGTAAGTTCTCTCCACATAGAGAAGATGATGATGATCACCTCCTTGAAACCTCTACACCTTGAGTTCTCTACACATTACACCTCTCTACAGACATCTCTCTTTCAAAAGCACTGTAACTCTCCGGAGACCATGATTCATTAATAAAGAACACCAGACCACCGTTGCCATTTTCGAGAGTGGAATAGGTCATCCGGACTGAATCACTATAAATCTCTATGTTAATCTATTATTTACTGTTTTACTCTTAATTGTCATTGATTGCTTGTTTGTCACTCATTAATTACACCCTTAGATATAATTGACTGTTGATCTTGTACGAAGATAATTTTATGCATAATAAAAATGCACGAGGTTTAATTTTATCTTGCTTGAAAATCAGAGGGTTCTATTTTCTGTACTGTGAAGCTATGGTGTCAGAGAGGGGGACGCCTTTAAAAAGATTTTTCTATTTGTGGTTTGAATCTATGGCTTCAAATAAGAAATCTCGGATTAGATATGCAGCTTTGCGCCGTTTTCTGTCTCTGGCTTTGATAACTATACTGGGGGTAGTTTTGGTGGGTTTTCTCCTTAGATCGAATTCAATTCCCATTCCAGTTAACCAAAATTGGAATGAGATTGATGAAAGTTTTGAAGTGACTTGAAATTACTCAGAATTTTTATGAAGACTTAACCTTTCCAAACAGAGTAAGGTATCAATTCTATTAGAAAAACGAAACCAGCTTCCCCCAAGTAACTTAGATTTACATCCAAATCTAGCCAAGATCATATAGTTGTCGTTCTGTATGTTCACAATCGGCCCCAATATCTCAAAGTAGTTGTTGATAGCCATTCTCAAGTGGTGGGGATTAATGAAACTCTACTCATTGTTAGCCATGATGGGTATTTTGAAGAGATGAACAAGATTGTGGAAGGTATTAAATTCTGCCAAGTGAAACAAATTTTTACCCCTTACTCACCCCATGTCTTTCCCAATAGCTTTCCTGGTGTCTCGCCAACAGATTGCACGGATAAGGATGACCTACTCAAGAATCGTTGTCAAGGAACTCCAGATCAATGTGGAAACCACCGGTTGCCAAAAATTGTGTCGTTGAAGCATCACTGGTGGTGGATGATGAACACCGTGTGGGATGGGTTAAAGGAGACTCGTGTGCACTTGGGTCATATTCTTTTCATAGAGGAGGACCACTTCATTTTTCCCAATGCCTACCGCAATTTGCAGTTACTTACTCAATTGAAACTGCATAAATGTCCTGATTGCTATGCCGCAAATCTGGCACCATTTGATGTGAAGTCAAGGGGAGAGGGGTGGGAGAGTTTGATTACAGAGAGAATGAGTAATGTAGGTTATGCATTTAATTGGACTGTGTGGAGGAAGATACATAACAAGGCAAGAGAATTTTGTTTCTTTGATGATTACAACTGGGATATAACAATGTGGGCAACTGTTTATCCTTCATTTGGAGGTCCTGTGTACACGCTACGAGGGCCAAGGACAAGTGCTGTTCACTTTGGCAAATGTGGTTTGCATCAGGGGCAGGGGGAGAAAGATGCTTGTTTGATAATGGTGTGGCGAAGGTTGAAGTAGAGGATATAGATAAGGTTGCCAACATCAAATCAGACTGAGTACATGTGCATAAGAACCAAGCAGGATATCAAGCAGGGTTTAGGGGTTGGGGTGGCTGGGGAGATAGAAGAGACAACCAATTGTGTTTGGAATTTGCTAACATGTATCACTCGAGTTGACAGGCGCAGCTCCTTTCTGGGGAGTTTTCGACATGTGAGTTTCCCAATCAGCATAACCAGCAAGGTCTGATTTCTTGATCGAATTGCTTAATGAATAAATGAAAGCACATGTTGTAGTTTCATATATATAATATGTTATGGCATACTAGGGGTGGTCCCATTATTTTTAATTTCACACTATTAACTGAATGAAATCACTTCTTTGCTTTGCTATTTCAGAGAATTTTTAGTAGCCTGTTCTTTTTTTAAGCCTTTCGTAGTTTGTATCTTGTTGAATGGGTTGTTGGTCTTTGATCTCCACAATTTTAGCAAATGGATGCTTCTGCTTGCTTGTGACTGAAATTCTTTTACACTAATATGGGTGGAAAAGAAATTAAGGGTGATCCTTTGGGGAACCATTTCTTCTGGAAACCATTTTTTACCTTTCTCAACTGAAGTTACGGAAACTAAAAAACTGAAGTTCGAAAAACTGTTTTCTCTCCTCTCATCAGCACTAAATCTTGTAATCACAACACATAAGGTGGCATAAAGGATTAACAGAAATTTAGGAAATTGCACAGTCTCTATAGATATGTTGTTGATATAGCTCTAAATTTTAATGGAGGAGACTGTGTGTTTATTTGTTGGGAAATAGGTTGTATAATACGATTGCAGAAGTTAAGAAAAATTGAAACTGCTACATGAGGACTAAATAAACGGGGTAAAGAGAAGTAAGAATAACGTGGTATCATATTTGAAAATCATTTTACGAAATTTGGGGTGTTAAGTTAATGTCATCTTACTTAAATTGCTAATGATTTTTCAGTGTTTACGCTCTTGAGGGTATGAACTATGACTGCATGCATAATCTGTAAGCTATAGATATGGGAACTAGCTGGTTCATCTATTGTCTATGCCCTCGTAAGAACTGAATGCAAAAGCATGGGTGTTGCAGACGAGAGAGAGATAGAACATTGGGTAGTGTAGGAACGAACACTATTGCATTTGGATTTGACTCATTTGAGTAACTTATGGCGCTTTACAAGAGTTTTTTTTTAATGTAAAGTTCGTTGAATATGACACTTAGCTGTGCTAATGGGGGAGTTGCGGCTTCTGGTTTCCATTCAAGCCAACACAGTTGTGGTCTTTTTTATTGGGGCTGTAAGAAAGAGAGTACTGGAGAAAGAGTAAAATGCTTCTGCTGTATCTCATATAACAATCCTGTGATGGCATTTCATTGGGAGTCTGAGAGGTAATCTGTTATAGGCGATAGTATACAAGTGCGGAAGAAATTTATCTTTTTCGCTTTAATTCGAAGTCTTTTGAGGATGTTCCATGTACTTTTAGAAATTCAATATTAATGTCTTTTTTTACTTGGTCTACCGATACAGTATTGCATGAGATGAATCTATACCGAATTTTTTACAGTACAAAAAGATTCTTCAACCCTCTTGAAAGAGAGAAGGTAGGAGAGTGTTTTACTTTAGATGAATTATCAATCTTCTATTGAGATGTCTAAAAGAGACATCCTTTTAAGGAAAATGTTAACTTTATCTAACATATCTTTTGAGTGCTAAAGGGCAACTCCAGAAGTCATGCCTACTGAGCGTTCTTCAATTGGGTCGACTCACCATGAGTGCACCGTATGGGTCCAATATTTTTAATTATGGAAATGTGCAATTTGTACTAAGATGCAATAATGGCAATGAACCAAAGAGTTATCCGATCTCCTCATTCTTTTAAATCATCTATTCATCACACCCATTAAACTCTTTAGTATAAATTAATAAGGACACTTTATCTTATACACATATTACTAACGGCTAGGTTTATCGAAAATGACTTAAAATTAATATGCTTAACTCTTCATCATCATCTTCTCCAATTAAGAACTCATTCAACCTCAAATTTCAATGAATTTTATCTTCACACTAAAAGGGGTAGCAATAATCTTATTGAATTGTCTTTTTCTTCATAAATGAAAACAGTTGGTTTGTATTAGTATTGATTATTGTTATTTTCAACTCATTGAATATATTAAAAAGGTAAAGCAAGGATTTTTCACCCAAAAAAAAAAGAAAAAGATTTTTCGCAAAGGCTTTGTGGTATTTTCCCAAAGTTTTAATCGGCAATCACTTGGAGGCCTATTGGACTCTCATGATTGATAATTGAGTCAAATTTCATGAATTTAAATTAAATTTATCAAAATTATTTTTTTATACGAGATTAAAATATTTTTCAAACTCAGTTCAATTGAATTTGAATCGAGCCTGAATTAAACTGGTCTCGAATTGAGTCGTTCATATTTTAAAAAGTTATTTAAGTTTACTATTTTGAAACAGTCCGACTTGATTGTCGGCCCTCCTCCCATGGTCCAATTCAAACAGAAATCACAGGGAAAGGTGTTCTTCTGTAAACTAAAAGGCGCCAAGGAAACATGAAGCAGAAGCCCCCTACCTCAACACTAGAATGTTTCGCTGGTACCTCCAATCCACACACAGACGAATCTCCAGCAACCAATACCAAATTTCAGTACCTTCACATCATCGATAGTTCCCTCACAATACGAATTCTTTATCAACCCAAAAAAACCAAATCATGTAGTAGGTCTCCCATTATCCCCACACTTAAACCATTTACAAAACTTTGATCACTACGAAATAAACCAAACCCATTTCAAAACCCAACAACCTTTCTCACCATGTTTACCAGAAAAACCTGTCACTTTTTCACCACCCTCGTTTTCGGAAAAGTACAATTTTCTTGTTGAGAAATATCAGTTTTCTTGTGGTTGCAATGATCCTACACAGCTACATTTACAAAATATTAAAAATGGATTTGCAAAAGATCTGTTCTTGTCGAATACCCTTATTAACGTTTATTTTAGAATTGGTGATTTGATTTCTGCACATAATTTGTTTGATGAAATGCCCGATAAAAATTTGGTTACGTGGGCTTGTATGATTTCGGGGTATACCCAGAATGAAATGCCTGGTGATGCGTGTTTAATTTTTCGAGAAATGGTCAGTGAGGGATTTATTCCGAACCATTATGCCATTGGAAGTGTTTTACGAGCTTGCCAGGTTATAGGGTCTTGTGGGAGTAGACTTGGATTGCAAATTCATGGGTTTATTTCAAAAACCCGATATGCATTTGATGTAGTAGTGTGTAACGTGTTGATTTCGATGTATGGCAGTTGTCTAAATTCTGCTGCTTGCGCTTGGCGTGTTTTTGATGGGATTCAGATTAAGAATTCCATATCCTGGAATTCAATTATTTCCATCTATGCTCAAAGAGGTGATGCAATTTCTTCTTTTGAGCTCTTCTCTAGCATGCAACAGGAGGGTTTGGCATCTAGTTTTAAACCTAGTGAATATACTTTTGGCAGCTTAATTACTGCAGCAGCTGCTTCTGTTGATTGCGGTTTGTTTTTGCTTGAGCAGTTGCTGGCTAAAATTCAGAAGTCCGGGTTCCTGCAAGACCTATATGTGGCTAGTGCTTTTGTTAGTGGGTTTGCAAGGTTTGGATTGCTGGACACTGCTAAGATGATTTTTGGGCACATGGGTGTGAGGAATGTGGTGTCCATGAATGGGTTGATGGCTGGATTGGTGAAGCAAAAGTGGGGAGAAGAAGCAACTAAGGTCTTCATGGAGATGAAAGACTTGGTTAGTATAAATTCTGATTCCTATGTGGTTCTTTTGAGTGCTTTTGCTGAATTCTCTTGTTTGGAAGAAGGGAGAAGGAAAGGTAAAGAGGTTCATGCATGTGTCATCAGAACTGGCTCAAGTGAATCTAAGATTGCAGTTGGAAATGGTCTAATTAACATGTATGCCAAGTGTGGTAAGATTAATGATGCTTGTTCTGTTTTCAGACTTATGGTCAATAAAGATTTGGTTTCATGGAACTCCATTATCTCTGGTCTAGACCACAATGAGTGTTTTGGAGATGCTTTAATGAGCTTCTGCACAATGAGAAGCACTGGACTCATGCCTTCAAATTTCACATTGATTAGTGCTTTGAGTTCATGTGGGAGCTTGGGTTGGATGAGGATGGGAGGACAATTACATTGTGAAGCGCTTAAAGTGGGACTTGATATGGATGTTTCAGTTTCAAATGCTCTTCTTGCTCAATATGCAGAGACTGGATGTATCACTGAAAGCAAGAAAGTGTTTTCCTTGATGCCTGAATATGATCAAGTTTCTTGGAATTCTATTATTGGGGCATTTAGTAATTCTGAGACATCCATTTCCGAAGCTGTAGGACATTTCATAGAGATGATGCGATCTGGATGGAGTCTTAACAAAGTGACCTTTATAAATATTCTTGCAGCAGTGTCATCTCTTTCTCGTCTCGAGCTGGTTCATCAAATCCATGCTCTAGTCCTAAAATACAGTGTTATGGAAGATTGTGCTATTGAGAATGCGCTTCTCTGTTGCTATGGGAAGTGTGGAGAGATGAATAACTGTGGAACTATCTTTTCTAGAATGTCTGATAGGAGGGATGATGTAAGTTGGAATTCCATGATTTCTGGATACATCCATAATGAGCTTTTACCTAAGGCCATGGATTTGGTCTGGCTTATGTTGCAGAACGGTCAAAGATTAGACTGCTTCACCTTTGCCACTGTTCTTAGTGCATGTGCCTCAGTTGCAACACTAGAGCGTGGCATGGAAGTTCATGCTTCTGGGATTAGAGCTTGTCTGCAATCTGATGTTGTGGTTGGGAGTGCGCTCGTTGACATGTACTCCAAATGTGGAAGAATAGATTATGCTTTGAGATTTTTTGGGTTAATGCCTGTGAGGAATGTCTATTCTTGGAATTCAATGATATCTGGCTATGCTCGACATGGACATGGAGACAAAGCTCTGGAGCTTTTTTCAAAAATGAAGTTAGAAGGTCAACCACCAGATCACGTCACCTTCGTTGGTATCTTATCAGCTTGTAGCCATGTGGGGTTGGTTGATCAAGGGTTTGACCATTTCGAATCTATGAGCAAAGTGTATGGCCTGAATCCTCGGATGGAGCACTTTTCATGTATGGTGGATCTGTTTGGCCGGGCAGGTGAACTTGATAAGATAGAGGACTTTATCAATAGAATGCCCATGAGGCCTAATGGTTTTATTTGGAGGACAGTTCTAGGGGCTTGCAGTCGAGCAAATGGTCGCAAGACCAATTTAGGTAGAAGGGCTGCAGAAATGCTTTTGGAGTTGGAACCTCAAAATGCAACGAACTATGTGCTTATGGCTAATATGTATGCCTCGGGTGGGATGTGGGAAGATGTGGCGAAGTCCCGAGCTGCAATGAGGGAAGCAGCAGTGAAGAAGGAAGCTGGATGTAGCTGGGTCACCATGAAAGACAGTGTCCACGTTTTTGTTGCTGGAGACAAATCACATCCAGATAACGATGCAATATATGAAAAGCTTGGGGAATTGCACAAAAAAATGAGGGACGCTGGATATATACCCCAAGTAAAATTCGCTCTGTATGATCTTGAACTGGAGAACAAGGAAGAACTCCTGAGCTATCACAGTGAGAAACTTGCAATTGCTTTCGTTCTCACTCGCAAATCAGAATTGCCTATAAGGATAATGAAAAACCTTCGAGTTTGTGGGGACTGTCATTCTGCCTTTAAGTACATATCACAGATTGTTGGTCGGCAAATACTATTACGTGACTCAAACAGATTCCATCACTTTCGTGATGGTATGTGTTCATGCAAGGATTACTGGTGATTGAACAGGCATCGCCATTAGGATGGCATCATGCATGGAAAGATAAGAAATATGGTTTACGTCATTTGGGAGACAAAACAGAGACACACTAGTTAGGCCTAGAGGATGTATAAAAGTAAAGTTGAGGCAGGCTTCCTATTGCATGCACGAGCATTCATGCTACTGTCACTCAAAATGGTTCTAGTGATGCCTGGATCAAGGACTGTAAAGCTCTCATCAGCAAGTACTGAGATTGTCGAATTACTTGCAGTGTCAAGGCGCGACATTACTCCCAGTACTGACTGTCTGGCCCCTCCAGAACATTGAGTTACTTCTGGAGTGACCATAATCAGGGCCCCTTGGACACAGCTCACCAACCTTTTTAAGTAGTGATCTCCAGGGAGGGCTTTCCCTACAGGGTCTCCACTTTCTTTGTTACGGGACATTTTTCTACTGATGTACAGTGAATACTCGCCATTGATGGGGAAGACCATGCCATGGACTTGACGATTTGATGATACAAGCTAAAGAAGCTGAGCCCCAGCATTCCTGAAATGAAACTACTTTTTGCACTGATTTAAAGTCTGTCAGAAATAAATTTGATTTGTTTAAAACACTGTAGCAGCCAGACTCGGGTTTTTAGACCCATTCCCCAGCTGACCATGGGTTGACTTAAAGAACCATGCGATATGTCAAAAAATGGTTATAAACTCTGGCTTGTTTGGATGAATTTTGGAAGGGGATTGGATTGGTTTCTCTAAATCCTTTCAAACTTAAACTCTTCTTTACAAATATAAGATTTAACATTTAATCTGATTCATACTCATATATCGTATGTAATACATACACATGTAGGATCCATGAATATATCATAATTATTAACAACTATTTGTCCTATAAATAACTATTTTATCTTTGATTAATCAAATTCATACCTATATGAAGGGGTACAATTGTCTTTTAGATCTTTAACCTTTTATTCATCTTTTCAAACCCACATTTTCTTAGGTTTGACGAAACTTCGGATTTGAAAATCTGGAACTGAATTTTTTATACAAATATAAAATTTATAGAATTTGGGAGAGTTTTAGACTATTTTTCTCAAACTCATCTTGCAAGCTCTCTATACCCTATTTACAAAACAACCCCTTGGACTTTTCAACTAAGGCTATAATTTTTGAGACGATGAGATAATACGACACAAAATTAGTATATTAGACTTGACCAATTCTTGATATAAACCTAAAAATAACATGATCTACTAAAACAAATCAAGTTAGTGTCGAACCAAATTTTATACAATATACACGTTTAACATGTATAATATAAATAAAATGACTAATTTTGTATTTTTGTCATGTTTCACATGAATTATTGTAAATGAGGGTATTCTTTTTGCTTGCTTTTGTTATTATATAGATTTAAATAGATTTTTAATCTGCAAAAAAAATTATGAATGATATGTTTGGGTGAGAATTAATGGGATTTTAGTGTTAGATTTTTAATTTAAGAGTTAGGATAACTCGAACACAATATAATAATAAATAGGTTGAATTAGCATCAAGACATCTGATATAAAAAAAAAAATTTAAATTTAAATAAATCACTACTCGATATAAACAAAATATAAAACGATTTAATACGATTGGATTGTTAGCCCAATTTTTAGCCACTGGTAAATCTAATAGCCCACTTTCAACGGAAAGATTAAAGGCCCAACAGACATGTGGCCCAACATTGACTTCCCTCAAGGCACTTAATTGAACAGAAAAATTAGCAGAAGAAATGGAGAACACAATGCGCGAGGAAGAAAAGAAGATATGAAAAAGGGTTCTTCCAAACCTAGGGTCTATGATTTAATCTCCAAGGCTGCAACTTTCTCTTTAGGGTATGTGATTTTCAAATTACTTTTAAAGATCTGTTCGTTTGGCTCAAATCTGCTCTACTTGTGTTAGAACTTACTGTATCAGACTATTATCGTTACCTTCAAAGATTAATTTTCCATTGCTTCAAAACTCTTACAGTTAAAGTAGCACTTGTTAAGAATGATACATTACATGGAAAAAGAGAAATTGAATAAATTTGAGGTTTTGTTTGCCTATTTTTTAGGTGGAACTTGGCGTATGATTAATGTAATTACCTACCCATTTTTGTGAAATTTGATGCCCAGTTGAGTTTTGTGCTTAGACGGTCTCAATCTCTAACAAAGTTTAGGGTTATTTTCTTGTTACACACTGATGCGAAGTGGGTATGCGTTTATTTACTTGATTGTTATTCACTTGTCTTTGTTGGAGTTCGTCTACCATACCAGTATTTCAAGCTTGTGGTATAGCTTATGTTACTTTAATTCCCAAAATCTCATCTTTAGTAATGTTTCTACCTTATTTGGATTAAAGGGTTCAGGTTAGAAACTTTTACATGGGCTCGGAAGTTCCCTGGAAATGGCAACAAAGCCGTTGAATAACATATGGATTCGGCGCCAGCAGTGCCCTTGTGGAGATTGGAAATGTTACATGAAATACGAAGGAGATGATCAGGTGACAGTTGAATCTCAATTGGCAAAGAGTGAAACGGCATCGTCGTCATCATCAGAAATTGTTTTCACTCCATATGTTGGTCAGATATTCAAAAGCGACGATGAAGCTTTTGAGTATTATGGCAACTTTGCTAGGAAGAATGGGTTTTCAATTAGGAAAGCGCGTTCAACTGAAAGCCAAAATTTGGGGGTTTATAGAAGGGATTTTGTTTGTTACCGCTCTGGGTTTAATCAGCCTAGAAAAAAGGCCAATGTGGAGCACCCAAGGGATAGGAAATCAGTACGATGTGGATGTGATGCAAAATTGTATTTGACAAAGGAAATTGTTGACAACGGCACACAGTGGTATGTCTCTCAATTCAGTAATGTTCATAACCATGAATTGTTGGAAGATGATCAAGTACGCCTACTTCCTGCCTATAGAAAAATACAAGAGGCCGACCAAGAACGCATTCTTTTACTCTCCAAAGCTGGGTTTCCTGTAAATCGGATAGTGAAGGTGCTGGAATTGGAAAAGGGTGTTCAACCAGGACAGTTGCCATTTATAGAAAAGGATGTTAGGAATTTTGTTAGGACATGCAAGAAAACAGTTCAAGAAAATGATGCTTTGCTGACTGAAAAAAGAGAAAATGATATGTTAGAACTTATTGAGGCTTGCAAGGCTGCAGCACAGAGGGATGATGGGTTTGTTTATAGTTTCACTTCAGATGAAAATGGTAAAGTTGAAAATATTGCTTGGACATATGGGGACTCTGTTCGTGCTTTTTCAGTGTTCGGTGATGTAGTTACGTTTGACACCACATACCGCTCTATCACCTATAACTTGCTCCTTGGTGTGTGGCTCGGTATTGACAACCACGGGAAGGCAGTTTTTTTGGGGTGTGTGCTGCTACAAGATGAAACTTCTCAGTCATTTTCTTGGGCCTTGCAGGTTTGTGGATACAAAGCCTTGTGACTCTTTTGCAACTATATCCACATTCCTTCTTATGATTATCTTGTTTTTAACAGGTCTTCATTCGGTTCATGAGAGGAAGAAGGCCACAAACTATTGTGACTGATATAGACACAGGGCTCAGAGATGCTATAGTAGTTGAGTTGCCACATACTAAACATGTTATAAGTATATGGCAAGTTCTATTGAAACTGTCTAGCTGGTTCTCTCTGCCGCTTGGGTTGCAGTATCCAGAATTTAAATCTGAGTTTGATATCTTGTGTCATATGGAGAATGCAGAGGATTTTGAGCATCAGTGGAATCATCTGATTGCTCGTTTTGGACTTGGTTCTGATAAACACATTGCTTTCCTCTTTTCTTATCGAGCAGCTTGGCCATTTTCCTACGTTAGAGGTCACTTTCTAGCTCGTGCAATGACAGCTGATTATTCAAAGTCTGTGGAAACATTCTTGAAGAATATTTTGAGTGCAAAATCATGTTTGCCATTTTTCTTTGAACAGGTAGTTACTTGACTATACTTTTCAAAGTTTTATTGCTGCATTGGTTCAGCATGATTTAAATCTGCTTTGAAACTCTTGCAGGTTGGTATTTTTGCCAACTTTGGGAATCAAAGAGAACAGCTATTGTATTTGCCCATCAAAACATGTCTGCCGCTTGAAGAGCATGCACGAAGTATTCTTACCCCATATGCCTTCAATGCCTTACAACATGAGATCGCACTATCTATGCACTATGCAACAACAGAAATGGCCAATGGTTCATACCTTGTGAGGCATTATAAGAAAATGGAAGGAGAGTGTCTTGTGGTTTGGATACAGGAAGATGAGCAAGTTCATTGTTCTTGTAAGGAATTTGAACATTCTGGATTATTATGCAGGCATTCTCTTCGAGTACTTGTAGTAAAGAACTACTTTCAAATCCCAGAAAAATATTTTCCTCTCCGATGGCGACTTGAGAGCTCCTTATTTCCTTTGGATGAACAAACTATTCAAGGCAGCAATGATGAGTGTTCCCAAGCCTTGCATTCTCTTACTGCAACTTTAGTTTCAGAATCATTCATTTCCAAGGAGCGATTGAATTATGCCCATAAAGAACTTATGCAGCTCCTTGATCACGTTCGAAATATGCCTACTATTGACGATATTGCTTTGAATTTGGCACCCGACCATGCCAATGAAACGTAGGTTTTTAAGAAGCATGGTGGCTAATTTAGCTCCATTTGGCAGTTCATTTTTATCTAGGAGGTTGGAAGATGAACCATTGAAGGCACCAAAATGATGTATGAAAATTTTTCTCTTTTGATCATACAAACTCATACTTTGTATACTGGCAAACCACAATGAGGAAGCGAAAATGCATTTTTTTACCAAGGGCTGAATAGAAGTTTGCAGAAACCTGTAATATTTCTATGCAAATTATATCCTGCATTTGTAAGAAATTCCCTTGAAGAATCACTTGGGGATGGTGTTGCTTACTTGTGCTAGGGGCAGAGAAATGAGTACAATTAGGATGTGTATAAGGTTGCTTGATGCAGCAGAAAATTGGGCTGCTAAGCATGAGAATGTTGGTTCATCTCAGGGAGTAGTCACTACGTAGGGGTTAAAAGGGAAGGATTGTTTAGGCCTTTAGAGCATCTCTAATAGTATTTTATATTTTAGAGAACATTTTTTTTTTTTTACATAGAGCATATTTGAGACAGTGGTTCTCCACGGTTTTTACTGAGGAGGATTTTTGTGTCAACAAATTATTTGTGTTATTTATTGTTTTTACATATACACTTGTGATTCGATGTACACACGGGTACTATGTATTTGATGAATTGATTATTTGAATTTATATATCAGATATAGTTGTTTGATTGGATTTGTGTGCCTAGGTTGGTATCGCTTTGTGAGATTGAGTGTTAATCAACAAATTGATAAAATCAATACACTAATTTACATGGATAGTGAAATATTTTAGACAACTCCAATGAGCTATCTATTCTACCGAAAGTATTTAACGAATAATGTATATATATCATCTTTTTATTTATTAAAAATAGAATGGAGAGTGAGTTGGGTAACCTCTATGTCTCCTGAAAATAGCAGAGAAATGAAAATTTGAAGAAACAGAAACAGTTTGGGAGTGGGGGGGGGGGGGGGGGGGGGTCTATGCTGTCCATGATGGTCAATACTGGATTGTCTGACAATTGGTAGGTATGGTTGATTATTATATTCAAATTTTTATTCCAGAGTTATCCTATTTAATTGTATAACTGTTATCTAGTTGAGTATATTTGAGTGGATGTCTTGAGTACTTGGAGCTTTTTCCACTGAAAATGCAAACTGGTATGTTTTATGTAATCTTGAAGACAGTTTTTTTTGGGTTTCAGCTTTCTTAACCTGGAAATATCAAGGCAATATTGTTCCATAGTAAGGGATAAATTCCACGTAGATATTCTACTCTCGGCATAGATGGTTTGTCTTTGATTGAATCGAAAAGGAGATTAGTCAAATTTGCTTAAATTGATCAAAACACCCTGGCTGATAAAAAAAAAAAAAAAATACTGCTCCATGTCCTAGGCCTTTTTTCTTCTCCCCAATCTCATTCACTGTTATTTTCTTTCCAGTGATGAAGAATATAATATCTCTCGTCTTAAAAAAACCTACTTATAGTTTGAATTAAAGTACAATAGTTAACGGGTAAATAATTTAGTATAAAAAAATAATAACTTTTTATTTCATTAATATTTTTTACAGATTTTCTTTCTTCTAAAAAACATTTTTACAACTTGAAAGGGCAACTTAATGCAAAGAAAGGGAAGAAAAATAAACGAGAATGATTAATTTTAGAGAGGGAAAAATTATATTGAATTTCTAATATATGAAAAAATAATCTATTATCAACTGAAACAATATGGAGCTAACAGATAATTCACTCTCCTGTTCATCACCCAGCATAATAATTGTAATTAACAGAAAGGCTTGGATTGGCTCAGTATGGTAAAGAGCAATTGAAGCCCAATATGTAATTTCCAATCTAAGTTCAATTACATTCCTAAGTTTTTTTGTATACACATTTATTATAATGAAAAAATAATTTATTTTTTGAATATGACATCTATGGTAGATGCCAATTTAATCAAAAAAGAGTGAAAAAGTTTGAAAGATAATATAATATAACCCAACAAATAGCAACAAAAATAAAATTTTTGTCTAAACGAAAGATTGATCCTTCGAATAAATTCGCAACGATAAAATTTTTTCTATTGTGAAAGTATCACATTCGAGTAATGAAAACAACCTCTGAGCATATAAAGATAAAGGTTACATTCAGTTAATCTAAGCTAGATCCACAATAACGAAAGTCTCGTGACATTCATGAACCTTATAGCGTAAGGTTATTCCTAGTCGGCTTGGGGAAAAACAGAATATTAAGAGGAAAATTCTTGACCTCATATGGAAGATATAGCATTTGAAAAGTTGGTTCTTCTACTCATTTCTCTTTAGATAAACTTGAAGGGCCACTGAGAAATATCTCCTATTGATTCTTTCTACATATATAAACTTCTACAATACCCTCACAGGGACAGACAGATCAAGCTCAAAAAAAAAAAAAAAATTGGATTTTTTACATGAATGCTTCCGCTTAGAGACATCATACAAAGCCACTTCTGTCTCTATTTGTTCATCACCAAATTGCATGGCTAGGCAATTCTCTCCATGTTCTTCCTCTTCAACCACATTCTCACCTCCTCTCAAGCAAGGGATAATTTTCTTTACAAAATCTGTCATTGTCCCAACAAGAACGTTTTCCTCCCGGTGGGTCTCCAAGATTCATTCAAGAACTCATCCAAGAAATCATTTTGAGTTCAAATCATCAAATGGGTATCCTCTAAATGCTGTTTCTTTGCACGATGGTGAGTTTCAACTCCTCTACCTTATGCTCCAATAAGTACTTTTTTGAATTTGGTTCTTACCGACCTTCAATTTGTGTGAATGTGCCTGTTACTCCAATGGTTTTGTTGCTTCTTAGTTTAATTCATATTATTTCTTCCCATGTAGAATTCTTCTCTTGGTGCGATCTGCAACATAGAAGCTAAGAAATAGGAAGGATTCTAATTCTCGAAAAGCACTCACATGGGTTTAAAGCAAGTGAAGGTAGCTTTAAGAGATTAGTAGAATTGGAAATCAAACAAGATAGAGAGAAAAAAGGAAAAAAAAAAAACTTTATGATAGAATTCAGAATTGGGAATTTCTCATAAAACTGTGAGTGGCCATAGTCCCAGGGGTGGAGACAGGATTTTGCTTCCTTTTGTGTTCCTGGATTTTTTTTGTTTTTTTTTTTTTTTTTGGGGGGGGGGATAGGGTATTACCTCTTACTGTCTGGAACTAAGTTTACTCAAATTTAACTGAAAGAGATTATCTTCTAGACTTGTTGCATGATTGTCTGAAATGTCTAAACTATTGGATATCTTTCCCAATCTTATCCAATTGGATGATTGATTTTATATGAGATTTGTTGCGGAAACGAAGTCTCAACTATGGTTTCTGAAACTTGCAACTGGTAAGATAAATGCTATGTCACCAATTTGTAAAATATTTGCCAAAAAAAGTTTTCTTCTTATCTACAAATGCTTCCAGTTCATAGGATTTTCTTCAGAATGGCATATCAAATATGATGGTGACAAAAGTAAAGCATTCTTGTTTCTTCGTTGCTAATGCAAGTCATAGAAGTAAAGAGAGCTGCAATGGTGCTGCCAAAGTTTACATTTCAGCTAAATGTATATCCTCTTTAATTACAGCACCGGTGAAACTTGAACCATTGGATGATATTTTAGTCTGGCCCCTCTAATATAAATGGTATCACTGTCATACTATCACTTCCATACTATGCATTGTTCATTGTACTACAGTGGTAACAGGATCATAGCCTGAATTCAGGGGAACAATTGCCCACCCTAGACCAACCTTATTTTGAGCCCACAACTCTGTAAAACTGTCCATGGTTTTTATGTTATACAATAGCTATGTACTTTCTGACAACGTACCACTGGTTCAGTGGTTAACAACCCGAGGGCGTCACTTTGTGCAGAAAATGTCAAGGGTTAAGTTTGTATGCAATATACCCCTCCCAAACCCCATTAATGAGGATCAAACTCGGTGTTATAGCTATGTTCCTTGCCTGCCTTTTTCTTGAATTCCACTACTAAATCTCAGATGGGTTTTTGGATTAGGATCAGCTGGAAACCCTCTGGCCAAAGAACTCCCACTCTCTGATTCCAGCATTTCAGAGTCTACTCTCAGCATTACTGTTGTTGGTGCTTCAGGGGACCTTGCAAAGAAGAAGATCTTTCCAGCGCTTTTTGCTCTTTTTTACGAGGATTGGCTGCCTGAGGTTCTGCTCTTCATTTTTTGATGTTTTCAACTTGAATTTGTCTAGATAAGTTCAAATGTGTCGTTATGGTAAAATGAATCATGATGCATTGTGATGCTCCTAATCTTTTTCTTTTTCTTTTTTTGGGTTGTCTCTTTAAATGTTTTAATGCAGAACTTTACAGTTTTTGGTTATGCGCGGACTAAAATGACTGATGAGGAGCTGAGAGACATGATTAGCAAAACCTTAACTTGCAGGATTGATAACAGGTATGCTATTATGGTGAATCGTTTTTCCATGTGGAATATATAAATTACTATGTCTTCTGTCTCCAGTTGTTAATGTGGGAAAGGGCTCGCAGGGAAAATTGTGATGACAAAATGGATCAGTTTCTGAAAAGATGCTTTTATCACTCAGGTCTTTATAACTCTGAAGAGAATTTTTCGGAATTGGACAGCAAGATAAAAATGAAAGAGGTAATGCCTCTACTTTAGCTAGATTCCCAAATCTCTGATCCTTGTTGATTCTATCTCTCATGCATTTCATGTGCTACCAGAAATAAGCATGGAAGGTAATACTTATCAACAATAGTCAATAGAGCTTGACAGTTTTTATGCACCATATTGCACTGGTGAGATGATGGAGTTTCTCTGGTAGACTGTTGGTGAAGATGATGAGGATGGTTATATTGGTGTGGTGAGGGTGGTAGTGGCGGTGGAGGTGTTGAGGTGGAGATGGAGGGATGGGGAAAAGGAGGTGAAGGTAAGGCAATGCCAATCGAGTGTTGGTGATGATGGCATGGGTTAGAGGCTGAATGCTTGGTGGTGTTGTATCATGAACATCCCAAGGTTTATTAGAGGTGGGCAACAGCTTGGTGGTGGCTATGTTGATGTATTAATAGAGTCAATTGTACAGCTCAAATTCACACCAACTTGAACTTCATTGATGTGACTAAAAGTAAACCTCCCTTTCCAAGTATTAAGAAGTTAGTGTGATTTAGAATCTGAAGGATTTTTATCGGAAGAAGACTAAATTTTAAGTCAGGAAGATTGAGGACCTAAAAATTAGCAATTGGAAATTGTTTTATACATTTATGGTTTTGTCATAGTATCCCAATTCTACACATCTGCTGCATATCAGTAGGACCGTTGGAGATAATTGGTTAAGAACTGTGTGCCAATTCTAATTTCATTGAGTTTTGTAATAGACTTCTAAATCTGAACTCCATTTGGCACGATAATTACTGTGGGCTCTTTGTTTTGATGAGAAGTAAAGCAAGAATGCTATTGAATCTCTTTGCTCCTTGACCCAACTCTATAGTGATCAGAGCGCTAATAACCTCTATAATACAAATTCAATTTTCAAAGTAATTAACATTACAACATTCACAAAATTAGAATGACAGGTTTGTAACAAAGGTAGTCAACTGTATAACCTAAACTCAAAACTGGTAACTTTATAATACAAACTTCAAAATGTTGACTACAATCCATAAAGAAAGTCATGGGCCACTCAGAACTGATGAACTTAGTGAAATCCTCTACGGTTTAACCTTAGCTCGTGGATCCTCCGCCTCTCAACCTTGTGTGAATAATACTTTTCACAAACGAGAAATCAACTTTTACAAAACATAGTTCCACTGAATTCAAGTGGATTCGGATTTACCAAATCCATAATCAGCCCAATCAATGTTTATTCAAAAGAGTTAGAAAATCTAAGTTCGAACCAAAATCGGAGTAACCTACCACATACGACCAATAACTTGAACAGCTGTCAAAAATCAAACAGTCAAACTTTTTAGAGGCAACTCAAATATAAGTACCTAAGAACTATTAAAATATAGAAGTAATTTTATTTTGGCCAAAAATTGTATAGAGTGTGAAAGTTGGATTCGATAAAAGGCAAAACAATCATTTTTTTTTTTGCGCATGTCAAACAAGGTCCAAACTGGGCAAACAATATATCGATGGAAAGCCCTTGAAATAAGGAATATCTTTGGTCCAAACCATACCCTTTGCACCCCCTCAGGCACCGACGGGGTGTCCGGTGGTGGTTGGCTACCCCCTTATCCTCCTTTTTCTCCCAAAAAAATTGGTTTTTGACCCAACTTCTTTCCTATGTTTCTCCCTCGATACTCAACCTTTTTTTGATGATTTGAAATCTAAATTTCTCCTTTTTCTACGTTCTTTCTAACCATGTTCTTGGTTGGTTCAAGTCTTGTCCATATTTGAAGGAATTTAAACTCAAAACTCAACCATTTTTTAAACTTGTCCACACTTGCAAATCAACTTTTTACCTACCAAACGACCAAATTAGCTGAAACCAACCTCAAAAATGGATTCATTGATCCCAAAAACATCAAAGGAGGTCCCCCTTATGCCTCAAAACACAAGATTTCAAAGACCCATAAAATTAAGCTTTGAAGCTCAAATTAGGGTTTCATGTTCTTCATTTCTCAGGCCATGGCAACTCAAATGAAACTTATATTCATGTTTACAGGATGTTTAGGAAGCTTGCCCTAGCTTGAAATGTCTATTGAGGGCTTGAATCCGAAAATCTTGAGCTTTCTCTTTCACGAGTTCTCTCTCTAACTCTCTAATTTCTAGCCTCAAACCGATCCTAAGGGCTGTACATATCCTTCTTGTCAATTTAGATGTGTAATTTAATAGCAGTATGGCCCATAAGAGTTGATATACTTGATGTTTGCTTATTGCTATTGCGAAACCTTCAAAGTAAAGTTATCCATCAATCGAGTCTTTTCCATTTTTTTTAAGTTCAAAGTTTATTACCTATAAGTTTGAATGATGGATAATGAAACTTTTTAAAATATTGGCAAGTAAGTGCTTCTTTGCTTCACCTTATTTAAACACTATCCAGCAATATCTTTGACTGCTGCATCCACAGTTTTGGATCTGCTCCCAATTCTGAGATTGCTTTCCCCCAGTTCTCTATATCACCACATTAGGCATGAGTTCACACGGCCACTATGTTCAATTTTGACTGGATGCTCTTAAAAGTATTCCAATTGATGGAGTCATGCATATAACCCTTTCAATTTTGATTTTTCCTGCAATGATTTTTTCAGGGGGGAAAACCGTCAAATAGGTTGTTTTACTTATCAATACCCCCAAACATCTTTGTGGATGTGGTGAGATGCGTGAGTGTTAAAGCTTCTTCAAAGAATGGGTGGACAAGAGTCATTGTTGAAAAGCCATTTGGTCGTGACTCAGAGTCATCTGGGAGGCTGATCACATGTCTAAAGCAGTACTTAACAGAGGACCAAATATTCCGGTATCCTTTCCTGTATCACTTTTTGGTGCGACATAATTCATATCGCTGGAGGAGGGAACTTGACTTTGTTAGTTTTATCCAGGATTGACCATTATTTGGGCAAGGAGCTTGTTGAGAACCTATCTGTGCTTCGTTTCTCGAATCTTGTTTTTGAGCCTCTTTGGTGCAGGAATTACATACGGAATGTGCAATTCATATTTTCTGAAGATTTTGGTACAGAAGGAAGAGGAGGGTGAGGTTCATACCTACATGACTGATAGGCAAATACTATTTTGAAGCTTAAGTCTTAGAGATAACATTTCTCTTTTATTTCTCCCCAGGTACTTTGACAACTACGGAATCATCCGAGACATAATGCAAAATCATCTCCTGCAAATATTAGCACTATTTGCAATGGAAACACCTGTCAGCTTGGATGCCGAGGACATTAGGAATGAAAAGGTAGTGATCATTCTCTTTAAAATGTCATCTAAGAATCGATGCTCTTATTTTGTTAATTTTTAGTCATATGGTTTCGAATTGCTTTTTATGATTGTGTGATGAAGCTCATATAATCTTCACCCGTGGGAACGACTCCAAATCTTAGAGTATTGATTGTTCCACGAATAACGGGCTTTTCAGGTAAAGGTTTTAAGGTCAATGAGACCACTGCAGCTTGAAGATGTGATTGTAGGCCAATACAAGGGCCACAGCAAGGGCAGTAAATCATATCCAGGATACACAGACGACCCAACTGTGCCAAAGGACAGTCTTACTCCAACTTTTGCAGCAGCGGCACTCTTTATTAATAACGCCCGATGGGACGGGGTCCCTTTCCTGATGAAAGCCGGGAAAGCTCTTCATACTAAAAGGTAGATTGATCTTCTCTTTCATTTTTCTTCTTTTTCCTTCAAGATAATCTTAACAATTCTATTCCCTGTATGCTGTAAATTCTGAGTAATGAAATGGTCAGACATTATTCTTGCTATGGACATACAGGGCAGAGATCAGAGTCCAGTTCAGACATGTCCCTGGTAACTTGTACAAGCGGAACTTTGGAACTGATTTGGATAAGGCTACAAATGAGCTAGTGCTTCGTGTACAACCGGATGAAGCCATATACCTGAAGATTAACAACAAGGTTCCTGGCATTGGAATGAGACTGGACCGCAGTGACCTTAATTTGCTTTACAGTGCGAGGTAAAAGACTCGTGGTTGCCTAGGGGTACAACTTTAATTTAGCGATAGTTATGAAAATGATTAGGATTCAGACATATTATCTTATGCATGATCTTCAGCCCAATAGTGTCATGTTCATGTCATGCCACTTTCGGATTGAATTGCTCAACACAATCAGACACCATCTAAATAATACTACCTAACTCTCAAACAACATGTGACACTTATAGGACGCACATAGTAATTTGTTTAATCGTGAGTTGTGATCAACAAAGTACTTCAAAAAATCATATTGCCACACACCAACCGAAACCCTCCAATTCGCCACAACCCCTGCCAGGGGTGAGCGTGACTCACGCCCCATTTTCAATGAAATCTTCCACCACCACCAAATCACCTCCAACTCTTGAGACCCACCAAATCCACACACTACCACCAAAACCAACCAAATTCACTCATCACTACCACTGCTGCAACCCATCTGCATCACCTAAAATCTACACCACCACCACCAAGAGAATCTTTAAGTTGTAAATTGGAGTCAACTATCACATTTCTGGCAAACTCTATTTTGTAACATTGGGTTGAACTTGAATTCTTTTTGAAGGTATCCAAGAGAAATACCAGATGCGTATGAGCGGCTCCTTTTGGATGCAATAGAAGGAGAACGACGATTGTTCATTAGAAGTGATGAGCTCGATGCAGCTTGGTCTCTATTCACACCATTGTTGAAGGAATTGGAAGGGAAGAAGATTGCACCAGAGCTCTATCCTTACGGAAGCAGAGGACCAGTCGGGGCACATTATCTTGCTGCAAAGCACAATGTTAGATGGGGAGATCTTAGTGGTGAGGACTGATGGACATTGAGTAACTTTTTTTTTCTAGCACTTCACATGCAATTCCCCAATCCTAACAAAGTAGTTCCTCCGGAATGAAATTTGGTTCTTTCCAATGCATTAAGTGTAAGCTAGTTGATAAGTTCACTACAGATGGGAGAGTTAAAGGTCAATGTATAGTGAATGTGAAGCATTTTGAAAGATCAATGGCTTAGTTCTGGCGGTAATAAATCTTCGGTGATGAATGTATAAACAATGTGCAATTGTTGCGAGTATTAATCAATAAATGGATGGTTGATCCTTATGGGAACAATGAGAGATTTTCAGTCTGTTGACTATCTTGTGGTATGATGGATATTTGAGATAGCATATCTTCCAAATAATCATAATTTCTCTTTTCTTCTCTTTTTTTTGTTGGCCAATCAGTATTGCAAAGTTTACAAACTGGAGAGAGAGAGAGAGCTGGTTGGTAGGTTTTATTCATGTGTATGTGGATTTGATGGTGGTTGCTGGTGATGGCGGAGTTGGGGTGCATGAGAGTTGAGCACCAAGATGACTGAAATGCTACATATAGAAACCAAACACAAGTGGACCATTTTTTTTTTTTTTGGTGCTATAGGGTGTCCAGACTTGCGCCGATTGCTCTCTCGAGCTCAATGGTTGGCCGCCGTATGTCCATAAAGGGATATGAATAGCTAGCTTTTAGAAAGTGTGAAAAGAAATTGAACCTGAAACCTCTAAGTTATTAAATAACATATTCAATCACTGAACTACTCTTAAGGGTTACAAATAGATCATTTATTCACTACTTATGTTAAACCTTTATTTAATTTTTCAAAATAGAAATCAGTAGTAATTAGGAAACTATAACTTTAGTTTTAGCCTCGCAGCAATGAACTATTTTTGTTAATGCTAATCACTCTCTTAATTAGAAGTATTTCAAAATAATCCTTTGATCTTGTGATCACTAGTCTCATGAAGACAGATATTGTACTAGACCACTTTTGTTGTTCCATGTGGACTCTTTATCATTCCTAACGAACTTATTTCCTGGAATAAAAGTGAACACAGAATTAAGGTTAAAAGAAATCATGGCACCTGTGCAAGAGACTCACTTGAGATTTGAGAAATGTGAAATGCACAGAGTCATATTCAAAATTTAAACCTCTCGCCGCCGATATCTTTGAATTTTCCAAATCTGGTTAAAGTCAATGAGGTGCGGTACCATCATTAAAAGAATTTCAAAGACTGACTTCACTTGTTTCTCCCTGCAAATCTTAACCAACTAATAACGTACATAGATTTGTCCACGATACTCAAAAATAAAATTTTGGATACCGTACATATTTTTGTAATACAGTACAAAAAAAAATGAATTTTTACGTCGATAAAGTGTTGTCATAAAAAGTCTATTTACCGTTATAAATATTTTTTGTGATGGTATTGTCTCGCCATAATATGTGTGGTCTCAAAAGATTTTTACGGCAATAACGGTCTGTCTCAAATAATATTTACGACGACAAGATCATGTCGTAAATAAAGTGTAACAAAAAATTCGACACTTTTGTTTTTATCACGGCGACAAAAGTGTTGCCTCAAATACTATATTTGACTATTGTAAAAAATAGAAAATATATTTATGACGGCAATGATGCCGCCACAAAAAAATAAAAAATAATTATTATAGGTTGCTCGTAACCAATATTATATACCCTGTGTATATATACACTGGTGGGAGAGGGAGGAAGAGAACTTGAATCCTTGACCTCAAGAAGACAAAGTTTTCACAATGTAAAGAGTACCATTAAACCAAAGACTCATTTTTATCCATATAACTACCCAATTTAATATATAGATAAACACAAAAGTAAATATAATCAACATTTTCAAAAACATAACAATATTTTCATATCCAAAAAAAAAATCGCAGAAGTTAAACAAAATGTAAACTATACACTTTTATAAAACATAACGATCTATGAGTATAATAAATTAATGCAAAAAGTTGAATATCCTTCCCGAACTATCTACCCTCTCTATGACATCTGAAAAAATATAAAATTTTTGTTACAATACTGAAATAATATTTATGTACATACATACAATAAAGAACTAAAAAAAATTAAAATATACATCAACGGAGGGCCACACAATATTTTTTTGAACGACTTGTCTAATTATGTAAATGGTATATAAACGAGTTATATCGTATACATTTCTTCTAACTAGTTTCACCAATATCTGATTCATTTATAATAGTATCGTGACGGGTCCATTCGTTTATTAAACAGATGGTTTAAGGAAGACTCAAACCTACTAATTTTATGTCGTGTTAACGGGTCGCGTCATATTTTGACACTCCTAGTTTTGATATAAAAACTTGACTTTGTAGAATTTAATTTTTTTTTTGAACTAGAAACTGTCTTTTGATGTTAAACTATGTAATTTTATAAAATATTACTTGTAACATAAAAAATAGTTGTGCCTAATACAAATTTTTTTTTAGAGTTTTTCTTCTTTAAATTATAAAATATTTTTTAATCTAAAACAACATTTTAATGTTTTATGAAATATTATATACGACGGAAAAAGTAGCTGTCATAAATATAAAAAAATATTTTGAATTTAAATGTTATTTGAGACAGAAAAAATAGAAGTCTCAAATATAATTTTTTTTTTTGCGTTTATGACACTATTTAGGGCAGAAAAAATAACTGCCACAAATATTAATACAAACACGTTTTTTGTAATGGCAAACACAGTCACCACAAAAATATTGTCTCAAATACGTTTTTTGTGACTACAAACACAACTACCGTAAAAAATTTATCACAAAATACTTTTATTCTTATAGTGATATTTATAAATATTTTTATTATTGTTGTGTTATAAAAATAATAATAATAAAATTAATAAAAATAATTACTATAGCAATAATAAAAACTCTTATAAATGTAATAAATCATTTGTACCGTCTTCAATGGGTGGAAAGGAGATAAGATTGATGTGAAATGTGAAGTGTACTGTCCTTACACCGAAGCTTCACCAATAGAAAATAATTGATGATTTGCCATTATAAAAACAGTGACACCAGGATACGTTATAAAGAATCCAGCCTAGGAACATTTGTATTCATTACAATTCACAACTGGTGCAATACTTTTGTCATCCTGAAAATTTTCACTGCAAATTTGGAGATAAAAATGTGGTACCTACTGTTCTTGGTCATTGTAATACTCTCCGCATCACAAGAATCTCTTGTTTTGTCTTCATCACCGACGCCGAAGAGCCCACATCGATGCCTAAGCCACCAGAGGTCCGCCTTGGTGCAACTGCGGCAAGATGTTCTAAAGCACTACGATCCTTCTGTTAGATTTGATGATAACTCTTCAATGAAAGTTCAGCAATGGAAGCTGGAAAGAGATTGCTGTTCATGGGAAGGTGTCACCTGCGACGTCGCTGGTTATGTCACTGGCCTCAACCTCAATTATAGCATGATTTCCGGTCATATCAGTGCCATATTTGATCTCCACCATCTCCAATATCTTAGCCTTGCTAGCAACAACTTCCGGTTAGGTTAAACCCAATACCATCTGGGTTTGATAGGCTTAAGAGTTTGACCCATCTAAATCTTTCATATTCCTGCTTCTCTGATCAAATTCCCATGGAGATTTCCCGGTTGAGAAGGTTAATATTGATGATGCATAAAATTGTCTTGTGTAAAATCAACAATTAAGAAAGTAAATAGGTGCAATCAATGAGCAACAAACAATCAATGGCAAAAACAGTAAATAAAAACTCAGAGATTTATAGTAGTTCGGTCTCGGATGACCTACTCCACTTTTGAGAATGACAGCGGTGACCGGTGTTTTTTTATTGATGAGTGATGATACTCCGGAGAGTTACAGTACTTTGAGGGAGAATAAGAGAGAACAATGTGTATAAGAGTGGGTATAGAGGTTTTGGAGGTCTTAAGGTCTAGAAGTCTCAAAAAAGGTCGTCCCCTCTATGTGAAGAGGGCTTATATTATAAACAGGAGCGGAATCAGACATATTCTTTAGTGGGGGCAACTTAAACTATATTAATATTAAAATTTAAAATATTCACAAAAGTATAATTTTATTAATGGAACACCAATTAAAGACGCAATTCATATACATGAGCGATATACAAAATGAGCCAACAAAAAAAACTCATTATAAATTTATCTATAAGACCTAACAAAAAAATTTTGAACCGCAAAATTGGGCTCAATTATATATTAAATTTTAAGAAAAATTTTCATAACAAATTCAAAAATTAATTTGTTCAATTACAAACTTAATATTCATCATTAAATTTTAACAAACAATCGAAACTAACTTAAACTATAATTATTTTAGTAAACTAAACCTAGGTATATGAAGTACTTAAATTATCACAATAAAACTGTTCCAACTACCAAATCAAAATAATTTAGTCTAATTATAATGGAGGACTACATGTCCTAATTTCAATTCTACAAATAAAAATAAAACAAATGAGACGACTATAAGTCCTAATTCCAATTCAACATATAAAAATAAAATACTAGAGAGGACTACAAACCTAAATATCAATTAAATATATAAAAAAATAAATCATAGAAGAGGATTACAAGCCCTAATTTTATTTCAACATAGAAAAATAAATACAAGACTACAAATCTTTATTTCAATTCAATACATAAAAAATAAAACATAAGAGATGATTACAAGCCTCAATTTTATATTTTCAATTCAACATGTAACAAATAAAATATAACAAAGAGTTACAAGCGCTAATTTCAATTCAATTTTTAAAAAATAAACCACAAAAGAGGGCTACAAACCCTAATTTTCAATTCTAACATATAAACATAAAACAAAGAAGAGGATTACAAGCCTTAAATTTAGTTCGATGTATAAACATAAAATAAATGAGAGTGCTAACCTATTTCGTAACATACTAATTAATTTTTAAATGTCCAAATTTTTTATATTATCTTCCATTGATATTTACAAGTGAGACTCATAAATTTGTCAAAATAACATAACTATCCTTAAATCTTTTAAAAAAAAAAATCAGTGGGGGGTAAATATCTAATAAATTCTAAATTTTTTAAAATTACACTTAGTCCCCAAAAATTTTTAAAATTAATTATATAGTTATGATAAGACGGTGACGTGATAAAGGAGGTCTCTATCACTTTGGTAAGTTCTATTTTAGTAGAATTCAATCTTTATCCCAATACTCTCTCCCCCGTGTTCCTATTCCGCCGGAGAATGATCTTAGACTGAATTTGATCTTGATCTTGAGATTGGACCTAGAGTGAACTATGATCATTTGGACTTGCATCGGAGTCATTCCCATGGCACTAAGGGAGATTGAGGAGAAGACATCAGAGGAGGACGAAGGAGAGCCCAAGGGGCTTGCACATGGGCGGCGCCCATCTGTGGACCTTGGGCGACACCCTCCTAGGGGCATGGGCGGTGCCCCTTTGTGTCCTGAGTGCTGGCCTCGACTCCTTCAGGCATTGGTCTTCTACTGATACTCTGGACTTCTTCTCATGGGTCGATTCAATTCCGATGGACTCTTCTTTGGGCTTCTTCGATTTATTTAAATTAGACTTAGATGACTCAAATTCGGGCTCATCAAATATTTCTTGATCTATCCACTATTTCATTTTGTGAACTCCCAAACACCTTTAATGACCCAGACTTCAATCGCAAACTTGAATATGAAGAGCTCCACAGGCTCAGACTAGAAGAACCCAACCTCCAGACATTTTTCCAGAGCCTGAATGCTCTCAGAGAGCTCAAATTAGATTATGTAGACCTCTCAGCTCAAGGTTCTAACTGGTCTGATGCCTTAGCTCATGCACTTCCTAACCTTCAGGTTTTGAGTTTGTCTTTCTGTCGTCTTTCAGGACCTATTCATCCTTCCTTCTCACAGCTCAAATCTCTATCCCACATCGGCCTTGATGGTAATCATCTCTCATCTGAGGTACCCCATTTTTGGGCGGATTTCTCAAATTTGGTAACTCTCAGTCTCAGATCTTGTGGTTTGCATGGGAGTTTTCCTGAAAAATTGTTCACACTGCCGAAATTACAAACCATTGATCTTTCGGACAATTCACTCCTCACCGGTCAGTTGCCAAATTATTCACTGAATAATTCTTTTCAGCAGATGATACTGTACAAGACAAATTTCCATGGGAAATTGCCAGACTCCATTGGTAATCTCAAGTTCTTGACAACTTTACTCCTCTATAATTGTAATTTCACTGGGTGGAGCCCATCATCACTTGCCAACCTGACTCAAGTTCTTGAATTGGATCTCAGTTACAATAGATTCAGTGGTCCAATACCTCCATTTCCTTCTAGCACTGTTCCAAAGCTTGTAGACCTTGGCTTGTTTTACAATCTCCTACTCTTGTTTCTCTCCCTTGCTGCCAACAACTTTAATGTCAGCATGAAGCTTGACATCTTCCAGAGTCTCCAGAACTTAACCAGTCTCGATCTTTCAGACAACAATTTGGCAATTGAAAGTGACGACAATGAGGGGTTTACATTTCCCAGTCTCGAAGAATTAAGATTGAGCAGCTGCAACTTAACCGAAATCCCTAAGTTCCTCTAGAATGAAGTTGCATTGAGGTCTCTGAACCTTTCCAACAACCACATCCATGGAAGCGTCCCCAGTTGGTTATTGAACAGCAGCACTCTTTATGAGTTGGACCTTTCTCATAATGAAGTTGATTTCTCTGATTCAAACCAGGGCAAGTCTGTCTTTAGTGGTGACGAATTTACTTCATTTGCAGTGCTAGGCAAATTGGCTATGCGCTTCTGCAACGTAAGTAGATTTCCAGATTTCCTGAAAGCCCAAGATGGGCTGTTTTACCTTGATCTTTCAGGCAACAAAATAGATGGTCGTACGCCCAGTTGGATATGGAAGATGAACCTTCAGTATCTGAATATTTCTCACAATTTCTTATATGCTTTGGATGAATTTCTTCCTAATATGTCTACCCCGTTGCAAACTCTTGATCTTCGTGCCAGCCTGCTTCAAGGATCTCTCCCTAAGGCAATATGCAATTTGAGCTGTCTGTCTATCTTTGATGCTTCTGATAACAAACTAAGCGGCTTGATCCCGGAATGTCTCGGAAAAATTGGCACTCTTTCTGTTTTGAACGTCAAAGGGAACAACTATCGGTGTTTCCCTCCAGATTTTGCTCTAGCAAGCAGTCTTCGGTCACTGAATATCAATGGCAATCGATTGGAAGGAGAGTTGCCAAGGTCTTTAGCCAAGTGCACAATGCTAGAGGTTTTGGACCTTGGTAACAACAACATTTCCGATACATTTCCGTTTTGGTTGGATAAACTGCCTGAATTGAAAGTGCTTGTCTTGCGAGCCAACATATTCTATGGTCAAACTGATCATCATGGAGGTAAATTTGTTCTCCCAAACTTTGGAATAATGGATCTATCTTCTACTGAATTTACAGGTGTGCTGTCCAATGAATTCTTCCATAGTCTGAAGGCCATGGCAACGATCGGTGAAAATAAATCAGAGCCAAAATATATCGGAGACTATGAATTTTATCAAGATTCAGTGACAATTATGAACAAAGGGAACGAGACGGTACTAGTAAAGATCCTAAAAATATTTGTTTCTCTTGATCTCTCAAACAATAAGTTCCATGGTGACATCCCAGAAAAGATAAGGGATCTCAAATCGCTTGTTGTGCTGAACTTGTCTCGAAATGCTTTTAATGGACCCATTCCATCATCTCTAGGGGAGTTAGCTGAGCTTGAGTCATTAGACCTATCACGAAATAACCTTTCTGGGATGATTCCTCAACAACTTACCAGCCTTACATTCCTGGAAGTGTTGGACCTCTCTCATAACCAACTCTCGGGACACATTCCTCAAGGCAACCAATTCAATACATTCTCAAATGCTTCTTACGAAAGAAACATGAGATTATGTGGATTGCCATTGTCGAAGAAATGCAAAGAAACTGATGATGCAGTACCGTCAATGGATCACGGTGAGAGTTCAGCGACAGGGAGCGTGTTTGATTTGAAAATTGTGTTAATGGCATATGGTTGTGGATTAGTAATTGGATTTTCAGTAGGATATACATTTTGGTCCAAGGTCGAAGATATCTGGTATACGAATTTTGGAGGGCGGGGCAGAAAGCCTGGAAGAAGATCAAAAAATGGCCGCAGGTATCTATCAGGAAGTTGAAGATATCAGTGACTAGTAACTAAATGTTTGTTAGGTACAATAAATCAGATTATGTTGATTATTCATATAAGCTAGTATAAGAGTCTTCGATCGGATAACACAGAGTTAATCTACATGTGATACATAGAACAAATAACACAATCTGATGAGTAGAACAAAGATGTGTATCAAAATATCTCCGATAGGAAATTGAGTGATATCTGGCAAATCACATGAGCTAGTTTGTATCCCCTGGAAGTCAAATTGTTGCAGACCAAAAAGGAAAGGAAATATTCTATGTCGCTAATTATGACAATTAAATCAAACAAAAATGAAAATATTATCAAGCATGTATCTAATGTACCAAATTAAATGCTCAAGATACATCAACTACAAGTCTACAACAAACATTCATCAACTACACCAAATTGAATGCCCAAGATTCATCAACCATTGATTTTATTTGAGATTTGTTGCTGGAAACGAACTCTCAACTATGGTTTGTGAAACTTGCAACTGGTAGGATAAATGCTGTGTCACCAATTTGTAAAATATTTGTCAAAAAAAGTTTTCTTCTTATCTACAAATGCTTCCAGTTCATAGAGTTAGCTCCAGAATAGCAGGTCGAATATGATGGTGACAAAAGTAAAGCATTCTTGTTTCTTCGTTGCTAAAGCAACTCAGGGAAGTAAAGAGTTGCAATGGTGCTGCCAAAGTTTACATTTTGGCTATATGTATATCCTCTTTAATTACAGCACCCGTTGAACTTGAACCATTGGATAGATATTTGTGTCTGGCCCCTCTAAAATGAATGGTATCACTGTCATACTATCAATTCCATACTATGCATTGTTCGTTGTAGTACAGTGGTAACACCGTAACAGGATAATAGCCTGAATTCAGGGGAACAAGTGCCCGCACTAGACCAGCCTTATTTTGATCCCACAACTCTGTAAAACTGTCCATGGTTTTTACGTTATACATTAGCTATGTACTTTTCTGACCACGTACTAGTGGTTCAGTGGTTAACATTCGATCCAATAACCTTGAAGCCATGGGTTTAAATCCGAGGGTGTCACTTTGAGCAGAAAATGTCAAGGGTTAACTTTTTATGCAATATAGCCCTCCCAAACCCCATTAATGAGGATCAAACTTGGTGTTATAGCTATGTTCCTTGCCTGCCTTTTTCCTGAATTCTACTACTAAATCTCAGAAGGGTTTTTGGATTAGGATCAGCTGGAAACCCTCTGGCCAAAGAACTCCCACTCTCTGAATCAGGCATTTCAGAGTCTACTCTCAGCATTACTGTTGTTGGTGCTTCAGGGGACATTGCAAAGAAGAAGATCTTTCCAGCGCTATTTGCTTTTTTTAAGGAGGATTGGCTGCCTGAGGTTCTGCTCTTCATTTTTTGATGTTTTCAACATGGATTTGACTAGATGGGTTCAAATGGGGTAAAATGAATCATGCTGCATTGTGATGCTTCTAATCTTCTTCTTTTTTTTTTTTTTGGTTGTCTCTTTAAATGTTTTAATGCAGAACTTTACAGTTTTTGATTATGCGTGGACTAAAATGACTGATGAGGAGCTGAGAGACATGATTAGCAAAACCTTAACTTGCAGGGTTGATAAGAGGTATGCTATTATGGTGAATCGTTTTTTTATGTGGAATATATAAACTACTATGTCTTCTGTCTCCAGTTGTAAATGTGGGAAAGGGCTCGCTGGGAAAATTGTGATGACAAAATGGATCAGTTTCTGAAAAGATGCTTTTATCACTCGGGTCTTTATAACTCTGAAGAGAATTTATCGGAATTGGACAGCAAGATAAAAATGAAAGAGGTAATGCCTCTACTTTACATAGATTCCCAAGTCTCTGATCCTTGTTGATTCTATCTCTCATGCATTTCATGTGCTACCAGAAATAAGCATGGAAGGTAATACTTATCACCAATAGTCAATAGAGCTTGACAGTTTTTATGCACCATATTGCACTGGTGAGAAGATGGAGTTTCTCTGGCAGACTGTTGGTGAAGATGATGAGGATGGTTATATTGGTGTGATGAGGGTGGTAGTGACGGTGGAGGTGTTGAGGTGGAGATGGAGGGATGAGGAAAAGGAGGTGAAGGTAAGGCAATGCCAATTGAGTGTTGATGATGATGGCATGGGTTAGAGCTGAATGCTTGGTGGTGTTGTATCATGAACATCCCAAGGGTTAGATGTGGGCAACAGCTTGGTGGCGGCTATGTTGATGTATTAATAGAATCCATTGTACAGCTCAAATTGGCACCAACTTGAACTTCATTGATGTGACTAAAAGTAAACCTCCCTTTCCAAGTATTTAGAAGTTAGTGTGATTTAGAATCTGAAGGATTTTTATTGGAAGAAGACTGAATTTTAAGTCAGGAAGATTGAGGACCTAAAAATTAGCAATTGGAAATAGTTGTATACATTTATGGTTTTGTCATAGTATCCCAATTCTACACATCTGCTGTATATCAGTAGGACTGTAGGAGATAATTGGATAAGAAATATGTGCCAATTCTAATTTCTTTGAGTTTTGTAATAGACTTCTAAATCTGAACTCCATTTGGCACGATAATTATTGTGGCCTCGTTGTTTTGATGAGAAGTAAAACAAGAATGCTATTGAATCTCTTTGCTCGTAAAGATGTTGATATATAATGTAACACCTTGACCCAATTCCATAGTAATCAGAGCACTAATAACCTCTATAATGCAAATTCAATTTTCAAAGTAATTTACATTACAACATTCACAAAATTAGAATGACAGGTTTTTAATAAAGGTAGTGAACTATATAACCTAAACTCAAAACTGGTAACTTTATAATACAAACTTTAAAATGTTAACTACAATCCATAAAGAAAGTCATGGGCCACACAGAACTGACGAACTTAGTGAAATCCTCTAAGGTTTAAACTTAGCTCGTGGACTTTCTACCTCTCAACCTTGTGTGAAACATACTTTTCACAAACGAGAAATCAATTTTTACAAAACAACTTATCAACTCAACAAAACATAGTTCCCCTAAATTCAAGTGGTTTAGGATTTACCAAATCAATAATCAGCCCAATCAATGTTTATTCAAAAGAGTTAGAAAATCTAAGTTCGAACCAAAATCGGAGTAACCTACCACATACGACTAATAACTTGAGCAGCTGTCAAAAATCAAACGGTCAAACTTTTAAGAGGTAACTCAAATATAAGTACCTAAGAACTATAAAAATATAGAAGTAATTTTATTTTGGCCAAAAATTGTATAGAGTGTGAAAGTTGGATCCGACAAAAGGCAAAACAATCATTATTTTTGTGTATGTCAAACAAGGTCCAAACTGGGCAAACAATATATCGATGGAAAGCCCTTGAAATAAGGAATATGGTGGTCCAAACCATACCCTTTGCACCCCCCTCAGGCATCGACGGGGTGTCCGGTGGTGGTTGGCTACCCCTCATCCTCCTTTTTCTCCAAAAAAAATTGGTTTTTGACCTAACTTCTTTCCTATGTGTCTCCCTCGATACTCAACCTATTTTTGATGATTCGAAAGCTAAATTTCTCCTTTTTCATCACTCTTTCTAACCATGATCTTGGTTGGTTCAAGTCTTGTCCATATTTGAAGGAATTTAAACTCAAAACTCAACCATTGTTTAACCTACCAAACGACCAAATTAGCTGAAACCAACCTCAAAAATGGATTCATTGATCCCAAAAACATCAAAGGAGGTTCCCCTTATACCTCAAAACACAAGATTTCAAAGACCCATAAAATTAAGCTTTGAAGCTCAAATTAGGGTTTCATGTTCTTCACTTCTCAGGCCATGGCAACTCAAATGAAACTTATACTCATGTTTACAAGATGTTTAGGAAGCTTACCCTAGCTTGAAACGTCTATTGAGTGCTTGAATCTGAAAAATTTGAGCTTTCTCTTACACGAATTCTCTCTCTAACTCTCTAATTTCTAGCCCAAACTGATCCTAAGGGCTGTACATATCCTTCTTGTCAATTTAGATGTGTAATTTAATAGCTGTATGGCCCATAAGAGTTGATAGACTTGATGTTTGCTTATGGCTATTGCGAACCCTTCAAAGTAAAGTTATCCATCAATCGAGTCTTTTCCATTTTTTTTAAGTTTGAATGGTGGATAATGAAACTTTTTAAAATATTGACAAATAAGTGCTTCTTCGCTTCACCTTATTTAAACACTATCCAGCAATATCTTTGACTGCTGCATCCACAGTTTAGGATCTGCTCCCAATTCTGAGATTGCTTTCCCCCAGTTCTCTATATCACCACATTAGGCATGAGTTCACACGGCCACTATGTTCAATTTTGACTGGATGCTCTTAAAAGTATTCCAATTGATGGAGTCATGCATATAACCCTTTCAATTTTGATTTTTCCTGCAATGATTTTTTCAGGCGGAAAACCGTCAAATAGGTTGTTTTACTTATCAATACCCTCAAGCATCTTTGTGGATGTGGTGAGATGCGTGAGTGTTAAAGCTTCTTCAAAGAATGGGTGGACAAGAGTCATTGTTGAAAAGCCATTTGGTCGTGACTCAGAGTCATCTGGGGAGCTGACCACATGTCTAAAGCAGTACTTAACGGAGGACCAAATATTCCGGTAACCTTTCCTGTATCACTTTTTGGTGCGACATAATTCATATCGCTGGAGGAGGGAACTTGACTTTGTTAGTTTTATCCAGGATTGATCATTACTTGGGCAAGGAGCTTGTTGAGAAGTGAGAACCTATCTGTACTTCGTTTCTCGAATCTTGTTTTTGAGCCTCTTTGGTGCAGGAATTACACACGTAATGTTCAATTCATATTTTCTGAAGATTTCGGTATAGAAGGAAGAGGAGGGTGAGGTTCATACCTACATGACTGATAGGCAAATACTATTTCGAAGCTCAAGTCTTAGAGATAACATTTCTCTTTTATTTCTCCCCAGGTACTTTGACAACTACGGAATCATCCGAGACATAATGCAAAATCATCTCCTGCAAATATTAGCACTATTTGCAATGGAAACACCTGTCAGCTTGGATGCCGAGGACATTAGGAATGAAATGGTAGCAATCATTCTCTTTGAAATGTCATCTAAGAATCGATGCTCTTATTTTGTTAATTTTTAGTCATATGGTTTCGAATTGCTTTTTATGATTGTGTGATGAAGCTCATATAATCTTCACCCGTGGGAACGACCCCAAACCTTAGAGTATTGATTGTTCCACGAATAACGGGTTTTTCAGGTAAAGGTTTTAAGGTCAATGAGACCACTGCAGCTTGAAGATGTGATTGTAGGCCAATACAAGGGCCACAGCAAGGGCAGTAAATCATATCCAGGATACACAGACGACCCAACTGTGCCAAAGGACAGTCTTACTCCAACTTTTGCAGCAGCGGCACTCTTTATTAATAACGGCCGATGGGACCTGGTCCCTTTCCTGATGAAAGCCGGGAAAGCTCTTCATACTATAAGGTAGATTGATCTTCTCTTTCATTTTTCTTCTTTTTCCTTCAAGATAATCTTAACAATTCTATTCCCTGTATGCTGTAAATTCTGAGTAATGAAATGATCAGACATTATTCTTGCTATGGACATACAGGGCAGAGATCAGAGTCCAGTTCAGACATGTCCCTGGTAACTTGTACAAGCGGAACTTTAGAACTGATATGGATAAGGCTACAAATGAACTAGTGCTTCGTGTACAACCGGATGAAGCCATATACCTGAAGATTAACAACAAGGTTCCTGGCCTTGGAATGAGACTGGACCGCAGTGACCTTAATTTGCTTTACAGTGCGAGGTAAAAGACTCGTGGTTGACTAGGGCAAACTTTAATTTAGCAACAGTGATGAAAATGATTAGGATTCAGACATATCATCTTATGCATGATCTTCAGCCCAATAGTGTCATTTTTATGTCATGCCACTTTCGATTGAATTCCTCAACACAATTAAACACCATTTAAATAATATTACCTAACTCTCAAACAACATGTAACACTTATATGACGCACATAGTAATTTGTTTAATCGTGAGTTGTGATCAACAAAATACTTCAAAAAATCATATTGCCGCACACCAACTGAAACCCTCCAATTCACCACAACCCCTGCCAGGGGTGAGCGTGACTCACTGCCCATTTTCAATGAAATCTTCCACCACCACCAAATCCCCTCCAACACTTGAGACCCACCAAATCCACACACTACCACCAAAACCAATCAAATTCACTCATCACTACCACTGCTGCAACCCATCTGCATCCCCTCAAATCTACACTACCACCACCAAGAGCATTATGAGTAGTCTTAAAGTTGTAAATTGGAGTCAACTATCACATTTTTGGCAAACTCTATTTTGTAACATTGGGATGAACTTGAATTCTTTTTGAAGGTATCCAAGAGAAATACCAGATGCGTATGAGCGGCTCCTTTTGGATGCAATTGAAGGAGAATGACGATTGTTCATTAGAAGTGATGAGCTCGATGCAGCTTGGTCTCTATTCACACCATTGTTGAAAGAATTGGAAGGGAAGAAGATTGCACCAGAGCTCTATCCTTACAGAAGTAGAGGACCAGTCGGGGCACATTATCTTGCTGCAAAGCACAATGTTAGATGGGGAGATCTTAGTGGTGAGGACTGATGAACATTGAGTAACTTTTTTTTTCTAGCGCTCCACATGCAATTCCCCAATCCTAACGAAGTAGTTCCTCCGGAATGAAATTTGGTTCTTTCCAATGCATTAAGTGTAAGCTAGATGGGAGAGCTAAAGGTCAATGTATAGTGAGTGTGAAGCATTTTGAAAGATCAATGATTTAGTTCTGGAGGAAAGAAGTCTTCAGTGATGAATGTATAAACAATGTGCAATTGTTGTTGAGTACTGATCAATAAATGGATGGTTGATCCTTATGGGAACAATGAGAGATTTTCAGTCTGTTAGCTGTCTTGTATTATGATGGATATTTGAGATAGCATGTCTTCCAAATAATCATAATTTCTCTTTTGTTTTCTTTTTTTTTTGTTGGCCAATCAGTATGGCAAAGTATACAAACCGGAGAGAGAGAGAGAGAGAGAGAGAGAGAGAGAGCTGGTGGGTGGGTTGTGTTCATGTGTATGTGGATTTGATAGTTGTTGCTGGTGATGGCGGAGTTGGGGTGCATGAGAGTTGGGCACCAAGATGGGTGAAATGCTACATACATAAACCAAACACAAAAGGACCATTTTTTTTTTGCTACAAGGTGTCCAGACTTGCGCCGATTGCTCTCTTGAATTTAATGGTTGACCACCGTGTGTCTCTAAAAGGATAAGGGTGGTTAGCTCTGAGGAGTATGGAAAATGATTGAACCTAAGCTCTCTAAGTTATCAAATGATAGATTCAACCATTGAATCACTCTTAAGAATTACAATTAAATCATTTGTCTTAAGTATATTCACTACTTATGGTAAACCTTTATTTAATTTTTCAAAATAGAAATCAGTAGTAATTAGGAAACTATAACTTAAGTTTTAGTCTCTCGCAGCGATGAATATGACACCAACTGAGGAGGCCAAATCTAACAAATTCAAACCCAATAAATCAAGTAAGTTCAAATCAGTTAAAAGGCAAGTCAAACTTAGTTCGTGAATTTGACCCAGTCCAATGTTCAAGGAGTCTAAGAAGATTAGAGCATGTGGAAAGCAATAATCAGGATACACATTCTCAAAAATCAAGACAACTTTTAATTGTACTTACTTTTTGTAGCTATTCTCTCCGAATAACTAGTAGTTTTACCCTCATGTCACCGTCTCACTCAAGGGCTCCATGCCTATAAATTGTAAACTCTCTCTACATGAGAGAGCACCTCTCTACACACCTCTCACATAGTTTTTCTCTCTCCTAGCTATTATATCCCTCCCAAAGTTAACCATTGCTCTCTCTCTTCCTCTCACCTTACTTTATCAATAAAAATTCTACGGCCACCGTTGCCATTTTCTGAAGTGGAGTAGATCACCCTAACCGAACCACTATATATCTGTATGTTGACTTGATATTTACCTTTTTTCCGCTGATTGTTTTATTAATTGTCTTGTTAATTCCCTTGCATCATTCACTCGACTGTTGACCTTGTATAAGTCTATTTTGTGCATCATCACCAACAATGAACTACTTTTGTTAATGCTAATCACTCTCTTAATTAGAAGTATTTCAAAACAACCCTTTGATCTTGTGATCACTAGTCTCATGAAGACAGATTTTGCACTAGACCACTTTTGTTGTTCCACGTGAACTCTTATCATTCCAAACGAACTTATTTCCTGGTATAAGAGTGAACACAGAATTAAGGTTAAAAGAAGTCATGGCACCGTGTAAGAGACTCTCTTGAGATTTGAGAATTCTGAAATGTACACACTTGTATTCCTTACACGGCAAAATTTTTTCAAAAGATATTTCCACGGCCAGAACTTCAAAATGTTCATATGTCAAAGTTAGAAGCATTCCCACTTTAACCTTTGAAGTTCAATGGTCAGTTTCTTATTTTTTTTTTTCAACATTCCGACAAGAAGTTATAGTTTTCTTAAAAAACTTTTAGTTTTATCGTGGCGTAGACTTGTTGACATAGTTCTTAATAACTCATCACTTTTTGAATTCTTATCATCAAAATTTTGAAAAACGATTGTCACAGTGCATAAAACACCGTTAATTCTGGTATTTGGGATTCAAATATTTTAGGAATCTTATATTTATTGTTTAATTATTGTCAATAATCCAAGGGGGCAGAGAAAAAAAGACAAAGAAAAGAAACCACCCAAAGAACTTCAAAAATAATCCTATTTTCCCTAAAAAAATTAAAAGAAAAATATCATGAAATTAGTCTTCAAAAGTCTGATTGGCCGTGGCCTGCACAGCGAAGTGGCCTTTTATTCTGTGGTGTTGGTGCAAAGACCCTAGTACACATGATAGAGACAGTGATGATGACCATGAGGGGTCTAATCTAATACAAGTAATGACCTTCTATACAGTCGTGATTGGCTCTATCTAAGATGTGAAATGTTTCCTAATGGAAAAACCAAATTTTCCATGGAATTTAAGATATTGTATGATGCGTTGATTTCTTCTTGCTCTTGAAGCCAAACAAACTTCTAAAAAATTGATATTTTGGCTCGGATAATGTTACATGGACGTAATTTAGAGATATAATACGTTATAATTACTTAAATTATGAATTGAATCGACTCCTAATTTAGTAATAACAATGAATTAAATCTCTAGATAATTAATTCCCAAAAATTAGATAAAAATTATATTATTGTTATCTTAGATTACTCTCAAGTCAATAACTGTCAACGTTAATGTCCTGTTTCATTGAATCTTACTTAGATTTTTGTAGCCATTCTCTTTCTTTGACTTGGTATTAGTCCTCTCTTAACTTCCAGGGACCAGCAATTCCACCGTGATTTGAAAGTTGAAGACTAGGTGAAGATTTGAGAATAATTATCTTGACAGTAATCTAAGATTAGCACTTGTTCATAATCACCCTTCACATTCATGTAAAATGTATGTGAATTCTCTAAGATTAAGGTTTTTTACATACATTTATAAATATCGATCAAATACCTGAAAATAGAGAAATATATTATACGAATGAATACCGGTATGTAAGGATGACTCGACTATATGTCTAATAACACTTTCACTTAACATCTGTCAAAATGATAAGCGACTCGTCTGGTCTAATTCGAGTGACTTGAGGAGAACAAGTGAAGGACAAGTAATGGGATTTCAACAGAATCTAATGTTACCATGTGAAACCAAACAAAACTCCAGCTTCAAATTCCTTCTAAAACCAATCAAATTCATGAAATCAAACACAAATCCACATATAATTTTCTTCTGAAACCAATCAAACCCACCTTCAAATTCTAGCTAAATATATGTTTATGGAGAGAGATAAACAATGATGCATGACCTACGGTTAGAAACTTACCTTAATATTTTTTTGATTGTGTCACTTAGCAAGATCTATGTAAGCTGTTGAGGGCTGTTGAATTTCGTAGCTTCCATGGTGGTGACGGACGGACGGAATAAATTTGCGATGAAGGAGACTACGATTTTGGTGGGTACGAACGAACAGACACAGGCGACAGAGAGAAGAAGAGGGTTATATTTTTGGTTCAAAATTTGAGGAAAAAGTTCGGCATTCCGTTAATTTGAGTCAAAGGTTAAAGATGATTTTTAAGTTTTTTTTACCAAAATTTAAATTTGAATTTACTTTTGGATAAGAAGTGAAGGTGGACTAACAATGGAAATTGCCCTTTGTTTCATTTGGATGTGGCAATTAATGTCATTACCTACCTTTGTTGCTCAACTTAAATGGGTGGAAAGGAGTTAAGATTGATGTGAAATGTGAACTGTAGTGTCCTTGCACAAAAGCTTCATCAATAGACACTACATGATTGGAATCAAAGTCAAGTAATTGAAGATTTGCCATTTTCAAAACAGTGACACAAGGATACATTATAAAGGATCCAGCCTAGGAACATTTTTATTCATTACAATTCACAACTAGTGCAATACTTTTGTCATCCTGCAAATTTTCACTGCAAATTTGGAGATAAAAATGTGGTACCTACTGTTCTTGATCATTGTAATACTCTCAGCATCACAACAATCTCTTGTTTTGTCTTCTTCACCGTCGCCAAAGAGCCCACATCGATGCCTCAGCCACCAGAGGTCCGCCTTGGTGCAACTGCAGCAAGATGTTCTAAAGCACTACAATCCTTCTGTTATATTTGATGATAACTCTTCAATGAAAGTTCAGCAATGGAAGCTGGAAAGAGATTGTTGTTCATGGGAAGGTGTCACCTGCGATGTCGCTGGTTATGTCACTGGCCTCAACCTCAATTATAGCATGATTTCCGGTCATATCAGTGCCATATTTGATCTCCACCATCTCCAATATCTTAGCCTTGCTAGCAACAACTTCCGGTTAAACCCAATACCATCTGGGTTTGATAGGCTTAAGAGTTTGACCCATCTAAATCTTTCATATTCCTGCTTCTCCGATCAAATTCCCATGGAGATTTCCCGGTTGACAAGGTTAATATCTCTTGATCTATCCACTATTCCATTTTGTGAACTCCCAAACACCTTTAATGACCCAGACTTCAATCGCATATTTGAATATGAAGAGCTCCACAGGCTCAGACTAGAAGAACCCAACCTCCAGACATTTTTCCAGAACCTGAATGCTCTCAGAGAGCTCAAATTAGATTATGTAGACCTCTCAGCTCAAGGTTCTAACTGGTCTGATGCCTTAGCTCATGCACTTCCTAACCTTCAGGTTTTGAGTTTGTCTTTCTGTCGTCTCTCAGGACCTATCCATCCTTCCTTCTCACAGCTCAAATCTCTATCCCACATCGGCCTTGATGGTAATCATCTCTCTTCTGCGGTACCCCATTTTTTGGCGGATTTCTCAAATTTGGTAACTCTCAGTCTCAGATCTTGTGGTTTGCATGGGAGTTTTCCTGAAAAATTGTTCACACTGCCAAAATTACAAACCATTGATCTTTCGGACAATTCACTCCTCACTGGTCAGTTGCCAAATTTTTCATTGAATAATTCTTTTCAGCAGATGATACTGTACAAGACAAATTTCCATGGGAAATTGCCAGACTCCATTGGTAATCTCAAGTTCTTGACAACTTTACTCCTCTATAATTGTAATTTCACTGGGTGGATCCCATCATCACTTGCCAACCTGACTCAAGTTCTTGAATTGGATCTCAGTTACAATAGATTCAGTGGTCCAATACCTCCATTTCATTCTAGCACTGTTCCAAAGCTTGTAGACCTTGGCTTGTCTTACAATCTCCTAGATGGTGCGATAGATTCTTTGCTGTTTACTCTCCCATCGCTGCAAAACTTACGTATGAACAATAATCATTTCACTGGTCAACTTGAGGAGATCCCAAATGCATCTTCTTCAGTGTTGGAATATGTTTATTTGCAGGGAAATGGTTTGAGCGGGCCAATACCTAGGTCAATCTCCAAACTCCCAAGACTCTTTTTTCTCTCCCTTGCTGCCAACAACTTTAATGGCAGCATGAAGCTTGACATCTTCCAGAGTCTCCAGAACTTAACCAGTCTCGATCTTTCAGACAACAATTTGGCAATTGAAAGTGACGACAATGAGGGGTTTACATTTCCCAGTCTCGAAGAATTAAGATTGAGCAGCTGCAACTTAAACAAAATCCCCAAGTTCCTCAAGAATGAAGTTGTATTGAGGTCTCTGAACCTTTCCAACAACCACATCCATGGAAGCGTCCCCAGTTGGTTATTGAACAGCAGCACTCTTTATGAGTTGGACCTTTCTCATAATGAAGTTGATTTCTCTGATTCAAACCAGGGCAAGTCTGTCTTTAGTGGTGACGAATTTACTTCATTTGCAGTGCTAGGCAAATTGGCTATGCGCTCCTGCAACGTAAGTAGATTTCCAGATTTCCTGAAAGCCCAAGATGGGCTGTTTTACCTCGATCTTTCAGGCAACAAAATAGATGGTCGTACGCCCAGTTGGATATGGAAGAAGAAGCTTCAGTATCTGAATATTTCTCACAATTTCTTATATGCTTTGGATGAATTTCTTCCTAATATGTCTACCCCGTTGCAAACTCTTGATCTTCGTGCCAACCTGCTTCAAGGATCTCTCCCTAAGGCAATATGCAATTTGAGCAGTCTGTCTATATTTGATGCTTCTGATAACAAACTAAGTGGCTTGATCCCGGAATGTCTCGGAAAAATTGGCACTCTTTCTGTTTTGAACGTCAAAGGGAACAACTATCGGCGTTTCCCTCCAGATTTTGGTCTAGCAAGCAGTCTTCGGTCACTGAATATCAATGGCAATCAATTGGAAGGAGAGTTGCCAAGGTCTTTAGCCAAGTGCACAATGCTAGAGGTTTTGGACCTTGGTAACAACAACATTTCCGATACATTTCCGTTTTGGTTGGATAAACTGCCTGAATTGAAAGTGCTTGTCTTGCGAGCCAACAGATTCTATGGTCAAATTGATCATCATGGGGGTAAATTTGTTCTCCCCAACTTGGGAATAATGGATCTATCTTCTAATGAATTTACAGGTGTGCTGTCCAATGAATTCTTCCAAAGCCTGAAGGCCATGGCAATGATCGGTGAAAATAAATCAGAGCCAAAATATATCGGAGACTATGAATATTATCAAGATTCAGTGACAATTATGAACAAAGGGAACGAGATGGTACTAGTAAAGATCCTAAAAATATTTGTTTCTCTTGATCTCTCAAACAATAAGTTCCATGGTGACATCCCAGAAAAGATAAGGGATCTCAAATCGCTTGTTGTGCTGAACTTGTCTCGAAATGCTTTTAATGGACCCATTCCATCATCTCTAGGGGAGTTAGCTGAGCTTGAGTCATTAGACCTGTCACGAAATAACCTTTCTGGGATGATTCCTCAACAACTTATCAGCCTTACATTCCTGGCAGCGTTGGACCTCTCTCATAACCAACTCTCGGGACACATTCCCCAAGGCAACCAATTCAATACATTCTTAAATGCTTCTTACGAAGGAAACATGGGATTATGTGGATTGCCATTGTCGAAGAAATGCAAAGTAACTGATGATACAGTACCATCAACGGATCAAGGTGAGAATTCAGAGACAGTGAGCGTGTTTGATTTGAAAATTATGACAATGGGATATGGCTGTGGAATAGTAATTGGATTTTCAGTTGGATATACATTTTGGTCCAAGATAGAAGATATCTGGTACACGAATTTTGGAGGGCGGGCCAAAAAGCATGGAAGAAGATCAAGAAATGGCCGCAGGAATCTATCAGGAAGATGAAGATAACAGTGAGTAGTAACTAAATGTTTGTTAGGTACAATCAATCAGATTGTGTTGATTATTCATATAAGCTAGTATAAGAGTCATCAATCGGATGGTTGATGCCATCATGATCGAAAAGAAGTGTGAGGGGGTGAACTAACTAGCCCCTGTCTCACACCATATAGATCGGTCTAAGATATAAAATTAGTGTGCGACTTTCAGAAGGCATAAAAAGCATTGCTCACGAGCATTGTAATAGAAATAAATGAGAATTCAAAATGGTTCCAAAATCACATCAAAAACATTTTAAATACTTCATATTCCAAGAATCCTAAGCAAACCATCGGCTGCTAGGCCAAGGCGTACATCTCGGGAATAATGAGCAAACCACTCATGTTTATTGTCGAATCTTACCCAAGCTTGGGAGTATGCTATGGGCTTCATTACATTCCCTTCTCCACTACGTTTCTTCTTGTGTCACCTCATATCTTTAGCCATCTTGCTCGACATAATTAACCTCTGCAATCTCAGTTTCAGAGGGAAGTTCCGCAACACCTTTGTGGAATATTTTTACAATTGCCATGTTTCATACCTTCACCTTAACTAGCCATATTCAGGACACTCTTCTGCACCTTCACATTTCTTCCAGAACAGTATATAATAAATTCCCTATTGCAATGTTGCATGTATGCAAAAGTAACTAAAGTCAAAGTCTCGCATTAAGTTTTTTCCCTCGTTAGAGAACTCAAGCAATACCTCCCCAATTGGCAGTGCTGCCTTGAACAACTCAGGTAATATCTCCATTGATTTGGTAAGTATTACTCCAACAATTTAGCGTCTTCAGACGTAGCAATTTTTCCAAAAAATTCAACTTAGAGAAGTTGTCAAAACTTGGATAAAGTGGATATTGTGCATCTTTCAACAATTTGTCAAATTTTCACATCACCCAACTAAGGATTGTGGTTGCTTTATGGCACTCCAACAAACGATATCTGAACATGTTCCCATAGACACATCCTCTATAACTTCTTGACCCTCATCAATATCATCATCCTTGTCGTCCAACTAAACTGGATCACAATCTAGAATCTGCACGAGTGACATTACTCAGTTGGAAATCTTCTTTGTGATGTACACATTGAGTGCAATTTTGATCTATCCAATTATGACCAAATCATCATCTATCTTGTCTGCGGTCTTATTAAAAAAAATTGTTGCACTTACCACATGTACACCAAATCCAAAGAACTCTATCTCTCGAGAGACAATATTCATAAACTTTTTCACCCCCTCGGTATACTTTGAGCTAAATCTGGTCTTACTTCACATTCAATTGGTTTTCATTAGAGTTGCCCAAAACTTCCTAATTCCACCAATGGGCTTTCCTTAGACAACATAAAATCAAAAATGTCGAATTAACCAAAAAAAGGGTAAGAATAACCATAATTTTAAAACCCAGTCCGAACATCAACCCGACAAAAGGACCAGGCCAATGGGTCACTGGTTCAACCTGTTAAACCAAACCCAAACCCAAACCAAGCCTAAAAAAATAAAAAATTATTATTAATAATTATAAATATGCTAAAAAAATCAAAATAAGTATTAAAATAACAAAGTTAATCTACTTGTGATACATAGAACAAATAACACAATCTAATGAGTAAAACAAAGATGTATATCATTTATCTCCAATAGAAAATTGAGTGATATCTAGCAAATTACATGAGCTAGTTTCTATGTCCTGAAACTCAAATTGTTGCAGACCAGAAAGGAAAGGAAATATTATATGCCACTAAATATGGCAATTAAATCAAACAAAAATCAAAATATTATCAAACATGTATCTAATGTACCAAATTGAATGCTCAATATTCATCAACTACACCAAATTGAATGCTCAAGATTCATCAACCACACAGTACCAATCATAATAGACTGACAGAAAATAAGCTAAAATTTTCCAAGTTTTTCACTGAACTAAGTTAATAATCATAAAATAATTAACCAAAAAATGGCAAATCGAAGCTACAATCACCACCATCTGAGTGCAAAGAGACTGAGAAAGAGAAAGAGAGAGATGAGTGATGAAGTACCTGTCAAGTGAAGGAGAAGATATTGCCTTCGTTCGACACTTCGATTGCGAGAGAGAGAGTTGATTTGTTGAGCTGCTCCATTCGAGTTCGACGAGGAGAGAGCTTGATTCATTGAGTTCGACTGAGAAAGAGAGAGGGGGGACTGATTCATTCGACGGTGAGAAAGAGAGTCTCTAAGCTAAGAGAGAGGCAGCAGCTAATTAGGTTAGGACAAAAATGCCTAGCTTTTATAATCTTTAAATTGACCCGCCTAGTTTGTGATTAACCATTCGGTTTAGTGGGTTTGGGCAAGAACCAGCCGGTTCAATGGGTTTTGTGCTGAAACGATACACTACCCGGTCCGGTTTGATGACCGATTCACCGGGTCAACCCGCTGGGCCAGGCCGAGTTTTAAAACAATGATTGCAACAAAGGTGTCTATATGCATATGTCTTTATTACTAGTTTAACAGCAAACTCCAAGAAATATATATCAATTCCAAGCCTGCACCTTGACAAGATGTAATAATAATTACATTGACATATAACCGTTCGGCACTCTAGCATGATACTGCATTCTAAATATTGAAATGACCAAAAAAAACCAGGTACTCTGAGGCGATGTTAGTCTTATTTTGGAAATTAAATCATATGTAGACAGTTACCTAAACCAACTAGGAAGCTCAAACTACGACACAGTTGAATGTAATTGTCTCTAATTTTTTTGGAGTTAGATCAACAAGAGTTGCAGAAGCATCCCACAAGAATAACACTACAGACAAACAAGTCTTAAATGCTGAACGTCAAACTACAGGATGAAAGAATGTAGAACTACCTCAAGGGCAGTTCTCGATACAACCAAGATCACCACTTTCAACTAAAGATAGAGAAACTCACTTTTAAAGGCAATAATCATACTTGAAACAACTGGTTTTTGTAGCAAAGGGTCCAATCAGATTCCCTGGAAGCAACTAGACAACCTCCATCAGTGCATATGGATTCTGCACTAGAACTGGGTCTATGAGGAGTTGACTTTGTTTCACTGTTCCTGAAAATGCTGGGTTCCTGATTCAGGAATTCGGGAGACCCGAGTCCATTACTTGAGAACGAATTGTTTCCTAAATTAACATGGGACTCACAACTTGGAAGCAATTTTAACCGGTCATTATTGCATCCATCAGCGTCATTCTCTTCATCTGACAAGCATCTACAGCAATCTAACTCATCCATCTCAAAAATCCGACTTACTAATCCTTCCCTCCATGATATCCTCATTGGAGATTGCAACCCAGTTTCTAAAGTAGAATTAGACATCCAAGAAGCACGATTATCCACAGACCTCTGCAGTTGATTGAAGTTAATGGAATTGGAAGTTGAGGTCAAGTCAGTGAGCTGGAAACTTAAACCAGGTGGATCCCATATTGATATTTGGCTCCTAGGAGATACACTTTCCCTCAGAAGCATGTCTGCTGCTGAATCTAGTTCATATTCAAAATGGCATCCTGGATACCCATCTGCATTTGACAAAGGCACACAGACCAGTCTATCCAAGCTTGAATCTGATGTTGGGGTCTGAATAACATTATCGCTATTTAAAGAGTCCATGGAGAACGGAGAATTTTCTCCGGCCACATTACCCTCAAATTTGCCCTCTTCTTGTGAAATAACATTCTTACACCTGGGTGTAGCTGGAGGATAAACTAATGAAGAACTCCTAGCAACTTTATCAAATGAAGGCCCCATAAACCCTTGAAATTCGGGGAGTGTTCCTGGAGAAGACGAACTAATCCAAGTTTTCTTACTGCTTGTACTATTATCCAGATCACTGCTACCACTGTAGTTAGTACTGTCACATAAGTCCGAATCCAACTCATGACAGTAGGATGGTGAAATAGGCAAATCAAGTGTAGAGTTGACCAGTTGTCTATATCTATTCATCCCGTTTTCCAAATCACCTTTCTGATCTTCATTATCTTCATCACATGGAGATAAGAGCCAGCACACTGAAGCTTCAACTGGCAACGGAACCAAAGAAACCCTAGACTTGTTAGCAACTCCTACAATATTTCCATCATCATAATCCCCATAGCTCTTGTCACATAAATTAACTCCACCAGGCCCCGAAGAATGAATGCCTCCTACAGTCAGAACACCTCTAGGTCTGCATTTCCTTTTATCAGTCACCCCAGAAACGACATGCCCAGCACCATAATAAGCTGATGTTGCAGCTGAAACCAGCAGAGATGACCCACATTGGATCTCAGGAGATACTGAAGCCTGAACTGGAGGTGTTTTGGTAGTAGTAGTTTCCGAGTCCTCGTCCATGGGTTTACAGCCATCCATTGCACAATCCAAACCAGACCCACATGTTAATTTAATAGCAGCGGTAGAACTTTCAAGTGAATAACTAAACTTGTTTTCCCTTGCAATTCAAACACTTTTACATGTGCAATGAGATGACATGAGGACTGAAAATCGAAAAATGATTCAACGTTATGACTTATTCCAATGAAAACTACAAATTGTGTCAAATACCACAAATATCTGGTAAAGAATTTTAAGGAGCTGTGGTTTCTCAAGTTCTTTATGCCGGGGGGGGGATCAAGTTGTGTGAATATAATGCATGCCACAACAATTTTTTAACACTGATAGAGACTTAAAATTCTCAATACAACTATCATATTAAGCTAATAATTCTATGGAAGAGTCTTAAATCCATTGGATTCAAGCAACAGAGGTTACTGGTTTTGATCCACCAAAATTATCAACTAGGTCTACGGCCGTTGGATTGAACACGGCTTTAGGTTGGGTGCTTTACATCAGATGCCCTTGAACATGATAACTTACCGATGATATTCAAAACATTCATCTAACAAAGCAAAAAGGGCAAAAATTGGAATTGAAAAATCTAAAGCATTACCTGGAATCGTTGCGGATGTAAAGTTGTTCGGTCGTGGTTCAAAGATTTATCTTCAGAACTCTTTTCAGATCCAACAACGGCTCGTTCTTCACTGTTTCACACCCAATAAACAAAAATATCGAGTGTGTTAGAGTGTGCGCGCGATTCAGAGAGACAGAGAGAGAGATTGAAGAGATGAGGGATGGACGACGAAGAGACGGAAAAATGCCTCGATTTGCCTGGTGAAAACGACGTCTTTTTCTCGTACGGAGAACTGTTCTTTCGTGATACTCGGCTAATACGACGTCGCTGAAATCTTAAAATTAAATTTAAGTCAATATTTAAAGAGTAAATTTGATTTTACATAAACCACTCTAATAAATAAACTCAAACTTAAGGATAATATTTTTTTTTCTGAACTTAAGGGTAATAAAATCTAATTATTGGAGCTTTAAAGAAAGGTAAAATATATTCGATAGAGATTTATGACATTCATATATCAACTAGTCATAATTTGTGCTTAAAAATCGATCTCACTATATTAAATAATAATTTTTTTCATTTATTTGATTATATTATTTAAAATTTATTTGTATCCATTATTTTTTAAAAATTATTGACAAAAATATGTAATCTGACAAATTTTCTCAACATGTATATATTATCATATATGAATAATGTTTGAAATAAAAATCATGTTAAACTATAAATTAATCAAATATTAAATGATTAAACAAGTAATACAAATAGGTAATAGGATGATTTTGGGAGAAAAAATATGTATAAGATAAAATTTTAAACATCTAAATATTTTATTATATAGATTAATTATAACTCATGTCTGAACATAAAATTCGAGTCCCTAAAAAATCGATTGTATTATATTAAATAATAATTTTTCTTTCCTTCATTTCTTTGATTACATCATTTAAAATTTATTTTTACCCATTATTTTTTAAAAAAATATTGACAAATTTTTTCAAAATACGTAATTCAATTAAATTTTTTTAATATGTGTATAATATCGTGTATGGATAATGTCTAAAATAAAAATTATAAACTATGAATTAATCAAATATTAAATAATTGAGCATATAATAAAAATGAGCGATGTGGTGGTTTTGAAATGAAAAATATGTAAAAGATAAAAATTGACTTCCTATGTGTTTTTTATTGTATAGATGTTATAAAAATATGATTTTATTTACTACCCACATGTGCTATTATTCGGTAAAAATTTAAACTTGTTATTCATATTTTGGGATAGAATGTTCATCAATTTTTAATAGAATTTGAAATGAATGTTAGTCTGAGGGTCACATTATAACCAATTTATGACATTCAGGGTGCAATATGAGAAAAATATATATAATAAAGTAGAACGATTTTAAATTTTAGAGACAGAGAGCGGCCCAAATTGTTTCATAACCAAAAAATTCATCATCCAACGGACAGTGTTATCCCAAACTGTCTCAAGTTATTAATATCTCAGATCGTTTTGACCTAACGTACTACATTAGCTTTTTTGAAATATTTTTGCTGCTCAAATTTTTAGTTTCCAAATTTGACACCCCTATATTGAATTCGCCTCTCAATCTCGCCCAAAATCAATGTCATCTAAATCTAAAATTCTGTCGAAATATAAAATTAACGTTCATATTTAAATTTTGACCTCTGCTCATGCTTCTCTAAATAATATCCTTTCCATATCAAAGAAATCACTTTTTTCACATCACAACTTCAAAATATTCATTATAATGATGATACTTATTATTTATTCCGCTTTCCTTTATCACTTGTATTCATTTCGCTCTTTTCACCGAATTTTTTTTTGATATCCCATTTCTCCTCTGCCTCCCTCTCTTTCTCTTTTTATTCCTCGTCTCGATTTTTGCCCCCAACGAATAGCTACTCAGGGTCAGCCAAACAGCATGAAGAAAAAAAAAAGTATGGGCATTTAGGCCTCAAATTTTTAGAAGAACCCATAATTTTAGGTACATCACCAACCTATAAATTCATTAAATTTTAAGCCTTACCAAAAAGCTCTAAAAAATTAAATCCAATGAAAATTTTTATTGCAATAATTTGGGCTTATAATCCAATTTATAGCATTAAAAACTTAGAAATTAAAAAAATAAAAAAATACTCAAAAGTCAACTCATATTTATTCTCACTCACTTTCTCTCTCTCTCTCCCTCTCTCTCTCTCTCCATCTAGTAAAAAAATAAAAAACAAAAATAAAAGTTGAAATTAAACACTCTCTCTCATTCTCTATGGTAAAAAAAATTAAAATTAAAATTTCTTTCTCGACAATATTAACACATCCTTCTTTTGTCTCTATCTCACATAGAATATTAAAAATAAATTAATTTTTTTAAAATAATACTAAAAATAAAAAGACCTCCATTTAATATTTTTGTTTTAGACCTTAAATTGGCTTGAGCCGCCCCTGTAGTCACCGGCGCCCCTTTCTCTTCTATCTTTTTTTCTCCTCACCGAAATCCTCTTTCTTCACAGCAACACTATGGAGGCACCATCGAAGACACAGTAGTGATCAACTATCGACAATCTTGAAATCTCACTCGGATATCTCTACCCTTCTCTCTCTCTCTCCCTCTCGTTCTCTCTCTCTACATATGTCTCCCTTACCGCAACCATTCCTTCCTTCTCTCTCCCCTCTACCACCAAAACTCATAACAACCCACCAAACATCCTATATATCAAAAGTCAAACTTTTACCTGCAGACAACCAGCACGTACACCCTCTTTCCTCCCCAGTCCCCACCATTGCCACCGAAACCTCCCGACCCAACAAATGCCTCCCCACCCCCCCACACGCACACATTGCTACCAAAATCCACCACAGTCACCAAAACACCAAGTGTTTGTATTATTGCTTCAATGAGCGAGCCAATATTATTCTTATTTTTTGGCGAACTTACTTTGTCTGCTGCAACGACCATCTATAGCACAACGACACAACTCCAGCGATCAGCAATGGCACAACTCCAATAAGACGATGATCTACTGAAAAAGTGGTTTATTGGTTTAGGTTTGTTAATTTTTTTTTTTAGTTTTACATATTTTTAGGTTATTTACAATTTTTTTTCTATACGTCCTAGGATATGAAGACCTAAGATTGGTTCAAGCTAAGTAGTCCTTTGTTAACAAGGATGAGTTTATCTATTTATGGTGTTTGTTTTGTCCAAAAATTGCAAAGAATTCTGGAAGAACCAAAGAGCCCTTTTGATCAAGAGCCAAGCCTTTTGATTTTTTGGCACATTTGGGAATAGTTTGCATAAAAAAAAAAAAAGCAATATTGATAGGAATCATTGTGAGGTGTATGCATGATGTTTAATGGATTCTTCATATTGCTATTCAAAGTTCTTTAGGTTGTAATGTCTATGTTTTTAAGTATTATTTCTCTCTAAAAAATTTTAAATCTTGACTTCAATTTAATGCTTTGTGCACATTCATAAATTTTGCAAATTATACACTATTCCTGCAGTATACTGAAATTCAACTTGATTTATTGTCAATATGTCTAATAGTTCATTTGCTTTGTTGTAAATTTGATACATTATTTGGCTTGAATTGTAATTAAAAGTAAGCTCACCTTCTCGAGGCGGCACCGATGGTTGCTAAAAATATGTTTTAGGTTTGGAAGTGATAATTATGGTGGTCTTAGTGATGATAGTTAATCTTGAAGTTATGATGGATGGGTGGTGGTGGGTTAAAGTTTTTGGGGCAAATTTATACAACATAAAATTAACTTAGTTGATAAAATTTGGTTTGAATTGAATAGCAAAATTAATTTAAATAGTTGACTTGATTAGATTTAATTTCAATTTAAGCACAAAATTTGATTAGCTATCAAAATCTAGGCTAAGTGGTAATAATGGTAATGGTGATATTAGTGGTAATAGTTCTATATAATTGTGTTTTTAGATATTTTACTTGAATTCTTTAGGAGACTCAAATTTTATGTATTCAATTTCTAAATTTGATAATGTTAGTGTAGTTGGATTTAATCATGAAAATTTGATCACAACCATTTTCCATTGATGGCATACTATCTCTCCATGAATATGTTTAAGTATGATAAATGAAAAACATCTTTACTTGATAAGGTTTGCACATCTTCATATTTTTGTAGGATCTTATTTTTAGAGAGAATTTAGTTATAATTGTTTGGAAGAATAGAAAAAAAATATTATATTTAGAGGCACAAGCATTCTCTAAACTATCAACATACTATAAGGACAAAAAGTGTAATTTAACCCGATAGAGTATTAAAAATTTAGTTTTAATTAATTTTGGTCTTGTTGATATTGTTTATTATATTTTTTGTTACAATTCATCTCTTAATATTCCTTCTTTGCTTTCTGTCTCATATTTATTTGATTGTTTTCATACTACAATAATTTTTGAATTTACTACCATTTGGATATCAATCAATATTAAACGGTCATTGAACAATTTTTGAGATTGTTTTGATTTGTATTCTATCAATTTTTTTAAAAAAAATACTGGGCTCATATTATATTTATCAATGATTTTTCTTAGTTTTTCTAATTGGCAATTTTTTATGGCATACAATCTCTTAATACACATGTATTTACTTTCGATTTTTTTGTTTGTTATGTCGTGCCTTCAAACACATGTAATTGCTAGTAATCTTATATAGTACAAAGTGAGAATCGAGACATCTTTTGGAGTGCAAAGTGCGAAAATTCTAAAATACTATAATATATTTTTATTCTATTTTAACCTAAATTTTAATAAAAATAATTATTTCCCTTGCAACATTGAATGTCTCTTATAAGAGAAGGATTAAGGGTAATAATAAAAATATTCCTTAATGAGATTGTGGTACTAATAATTTGCACTTTAGTTTGTAGTTATATAGATGTCTCCGACTTTATTTCCCTTGAAGTGCTGTTAATTTGATTCTATAGGGATAAATTTTACCATGGCAATCTATCTATGTATCTATATCTATATCTATATTATTACTAATCTTTACTACTTTAAAATGCCAAGAAGTATGAAAAACTTTTTATTTCCCTTATTACCCTTGAGAAAATGTATAAAGACAATTCTACACATCCTTAATAATCTATAAAGCTATTTATAACATAATAATTTCCATCCTCCACTATCTCCACTAAATTGTTGGCTAGAGCAATG